GAGGCCACACTCCAGAGCCCACACCATGCTCTGGGGAAGAGGTGGCATCTCAAGCTGGTCTTGGAGAAGCAAAAGATGGCCCCGCCCCTGGGGACCCCGTCTGGGCAGCATGGGGAAGGGTAGCGGATGGTAATGCTCGAGTTCCCTTTCCTTAAAGGGACACTTTCAGATCCACAGCGTCACCTCATCAGGACTTGATCTGGGGGCTGCACCATGAGACACCCGCACAGGGAAGCAGTGGGGGTGGGGTGATGGCAGGAGGGACCGCCAACAGCAGGGGCATGGGGGGGGCAGATCTCACGGTGCGGCTCATCCCAAGCCCCACCTGCCTGTCACTCAATCCATGGCCACGCCCACACCCCTGGGAACCTGTGAGCCCTGTCTCTGAAGCCAGGGTGGGGACCGGAGGGGGGCCGAGGCCATGAGACTCCAAGGCTGCAAAGCGCCACCTGCGGTAACCACCCCTGGTCACCAGCGAGGAGCCCCAGGCCCTCCACCCCCTCCCGGGGACACCCACCATCCTCTCCTACCTGCAGTGACCTGGACCTCTTGGACACCACGGTTCGGGGCGACGGTGCGCAGGTGGGTTGGGTCTTGAACAGGCCCCTCCCAGAGGCCCTTGGAGAAGCCACGGTCACCCGCTGCCCATCAGTGCCTCCTGCTGAAGGGCGAAGGCTTCTCCCCAGGCTGCACCCTGTTCACCTGGCACCTGCAGGAGAGCCGAGGCCAGCCCCAGAGAGTCCAGATGCCGCAGGAGCTAGTGCGAGGTCCGGGGAGGGAGGGGGCAGGTCTCGGCTGCAGGAGGCTGTGCTGGCCTCCAGGGCACAGCCCCTCCCTCCCAAGGCACATGCATATTATTATTATTATTATTATTATTATTATTATTAATTTTCTACCAAGACTCCACATAAGGCTTCCTGTGGCCGAGGCTGTTATTCATAGAAGTCAATTTTGCCCAAAGCTGGGATTGCTCCCAGGACCTGTGTTCTGGGAAGGGCTGTGGGGTGGCAGAGTCCCTGGGTAGAGCAGGTGTCCCCAAGCTGGCCTAGGCTCCTGCCTGCCCACTTTGGCTCTGGGGACGTGTGGCACAGGGCTGTGGTGCGTTCCGACCCCAAGGCAGCCCTGGCGGCTCCCAGGTGGGCCTGACGCCTACTTGTTCGTGATGCCATCACCGGGCGCCTGCCCAGGCCAGGCACTGAGCCAGATGCTGGGGGACAGCCGTGTCTCAGAGAGACCAACCACAGAGTTCGCAGCTTTCTGGGGGGAGATGAGCAGAGGCGCCATGTCAGGTGACCAGGGCCGTGGGATAAGCGGGGACAGGGAGCTCGCAAAAGGTGGACGGGAGGACCTTTCTGAGAGGGAAGTGAGGCGCTGGGCGCCCTGCAGGGAGCTGTGAGCAGAATGTTCTGGACAGAGAGGACAGCAGCCTCGGCAGCGTCGCGGAGGAGCAGGGAGCCGGGGAGGGAAGGGGGCTTGCAGGGACACGGGCTGGGCGAAAGGTTCTGAGTCAGAGGGCCACACCCCAGGAAACCCATCAAAAGTTGAAAATACCCTGCTCCAGCAAAGCCGGGAACGGCCCAGCCTCCTAGACAGCGCGGCCCAGCCGGCCTCCCGCACCTGGAGCTCCACCGCCGCCCGCAGCCTGCCTTACCACAAAGGCTGAGCATCGCGTGGGGTTTGCCGAATACTCTACCCAGAGCCACCGCCGGGTGGGTGTGCGTCTGCATCATCACAAAGTCAGAACTTATACGCTGAGCCCTCCTAAGGAAGTAGGGGACCGTTTGCATCTGAGGACAAAGGCGATGAGCTCTGAAAATTCCCAGCCCCTAACGATTCCCTGCTCTCCACCGGGAGCCGTGGGTGGCGGACACAGTGGAGCGCGATTGTCTCTGGGAAACTCCAAGGTGAAAGGTACGGAGCAGAGGACGTGGAGCGGGGCCACACCGATTATTCACACCATGGAAAGGGCCAAGGCCACAAGTGAGAGCTTCGTGACATCGTCTAGATGTAAGGAAGGGACGGAGGCTAATGACGCAGCCGGAACTTGGGAGTGTGTCCAGCCATCACGCAGGGGGGACAGAAAACCCCAGCAGCTGTTCCCAATGCCGTCTGATTCAGCAAGGAAGTGACTCTCGTTGATGAATGAGCGACACTCGCCAGACACCTTCGAAACAAAAATATCAGCCCACGATCATCAGGTCGCACTTCAGATTCAGCGACAGCGAGTTTACTGGGACCAGCAGGTTGGGGAGCAGCACGGTTGTCAAATCGTGGTCTAAACCGCCAACGCAGCTTGTGTGCGGTGACAGGAAGCTTCGTGGAGCCTCGCACATCTGACGAGAAAGAGTGACGTGCGTGTGGCCTTCAGATCTGTGCGCCGTGGGACGCACACACTTCATCTCAGCAAATCTGTGTAAATGCGTGTGTATGCGTAAGAAGTCCTCCCCAGCCAGTGCTGCTGCAGGGGTCAGCAGGGTGGGGCAGTGGGACAGGGCAGCCGGGGACGCCGAGGCCAGGCAGGGTCACGGGAGAGCAAGCAGAGCTGCGTCCTGCAGCCGGATGGTGGGGATGTGTTTAAGAACACACAGTCATTGGGACCAAGGTCAGCAAGCAGAAGACGACCAAGGACCCTGGACATTGGTGGCAGAGCAGTCCTGGTGGGGGGTCAGGGAGGCGAGTGGGTAGGTTTCGGAGGCAGTGGGGGCTGCCGGGGACGCCCAGCTCCTGAATTTTCCCAAGAAAGGACGGCCCGGTGCGGGGCGGGGGGGAGTCGGGTTTTAGGATGGGGACGTGGCTGTGCAGGATGTGGGACAGGGAGAAGGGACCGTGACCTTGGGGCCCTCGCCTGCGGAGGCCAGGTCTTGAGCAGGATGCCAGGCCATTTGTCCCTTGTTCAGGAGGGCAGTGGGGACGTGAGCTCGGAGGCAGATGTGCTGGGGACGAGGTAGCGGGGCTTCGGGAGGGAGGGGAGGGGTGGCCCGTGTTCCTAGGACTCAGCAGAAAGCGTCTCCAGAAAGGTGGCAGGACAGCCAGCGGTCACATGTCCCTGGAGGTTAAGGGTCGGAGTCTGGGGGCCACGTGGGCGCTGGGTCACTGCGGCTCGAGTGGCAGAGGAGCGAGGGGCCAGGGCCTTGGGACCAGAGCAGGGAGTGACCACCACGGGCGTGGGGCAGTCAGTGAAGGGAACAGAGACCGGGCAGGGGAGGGACGGGGAGAACTGGGAGGCTCAGCCGCGGTCCCAGTGCGCGGAGCCCTGAGGGGTTGGTGCAGCAGGTGGCAGTCACAACAGGACACCGGCAGCGCCTGCTGTTCTGGGTGACGACAGAGTGTGGGGTTCACCCATGGGGCAGCGAGGTCGGAGGGGGACAGCAAAGGTCGCAGGACTGGGCAGCCAGGCTGGGGTGTGCTGTCCACGTGGCCATTGAAAGAAGCCAGGAGAGGGCAGGCTGGGGACAGTGGCAGGAGCCGCCCCCTCAAGGGACCAGGGCAGAGTGACTGTGGGATAGGTGGTGGCACCTAAGGTTTCAATTCACACAGGGGATCACGGACGAAGGAAAGAAGCCATCTGGGAGGGGACAGGGAGGTAGGAAGCTCCCTGCCCACCGGGGCCAGGGGCCGAGGGGGCGGGAGGAGAGGCCGTGGGGACAAGGTGGCCGGGCTGTCAGGCGAAGGCCCAGGGGACTGTCCAAGGTGACCCTGTCGTGAGACTGAAAGATGTGGTCGCACGTGGATGAGCACCAGACCTGAGAATTGGGGTCCCCGTGGGGACGGGTGGACACACACGAAGGGCCGGGCCACCGACGGGCGTCCGGCAGTGATGGGGACCCACCTCGGCCTGGGGAGCCGATCCTGCCGGGTGCCTGGGCCTCGGGGGCCCCACTCACTCATCTCTGCTGGGAAGAGGCCCTGTGAGCCCACAGCGGGACTTGTGATGTAGGACCTGTGACTCTTGTCACCATGGTCAACAGGGGCAGCTGGGGACAGAGTGACCGTGGCAGGGCTTGGGGAGGATGTGATTTTGTGTGGGTTCTTGGGGTCCGGGAAGGGTGGAGGCGTATGTAAAAGGACCCTCCAGAGGCATCTTGGTGGTCGAGTGGACGTCTCTACAGGGACCGGGCTTTGGGGGGTGGCCTTGAGGCTTCGGCTTTGCCATGGACGTGAGGGAGTGACCTTCCCTCCTGGTGGCCCCCGGGGCCCAGGGCCTCCTGGATCCTGGCAGAGGTGCCCAGCTCTCTTGTGTGGGGGTGAGGAAGGACAAGCTGCCCCTGCAGAGGTCCCACTGGCTCGACTCTCCGTGTCCTGTGGCCTGAGTACGGGGCACTCCCCTCCCCAAAGCTGAGGCCAGGAAGGCCGCTCCCAACCCGCTGTGCTGAGGTGGCTGGCTGTTCTCTGGTGCCCCAGGGCTCGGGGGTATAGGTGGCTGGAGAGAAGTGGCACTGGGTCCTGGGTGGATCAAGTGCCACGTCCCCAGAACCCCCTGCGGGGTCTGGGAAAGTGAGCGTCCACTCGTGTGTTAACAGAGGTTTATTGAGCACCTACTGTGGTGCCAGGCATGCGTTCCCAGGATGCAGCAGGGAGCACAGAGCTGAGCTAGCCGTGGAGATGGACGCTAGCCAGGCAGGACCAGGGATCCCAGCAGGGTGAGGGGATGGGGCAGTGGCGAAGAAGGTGGGGCAAGGTGTGGCATTAAATGGAGTGGTGACGTCCTTGCAGAGCCCTGAAGTTTGAGAGAAGGAGCCTGGTGTGTATCTGGGGAAGAACATCCTACCTAGAGAAAATGGCCAGTGCAAAGGCCTGCGGCAGCCCAGCCTAGCATCTTTAGGGACCAGCAGGAAGGCCGGGTGGCCAGGGCAAAGTGGGCCTTGAGGGCTGGGGTGGGAGTGGTCCCTAGACCAGCTATGAGGGGTGACGTTTGGGCTCCCTGGCAGCCACACCCCGCCCCCCCCCCCGTGGCCACCCTCCTGGGTCCCTGGGCCTCATCCTCTCTCCCTCCTCTGCAGTGACGTGCCCAAGGGCGCCAAGAACTTCGACGTCTCTGGGAGCTCCAAGTTGGATATCTTTGTGGCCTACGATTCCACTCGGGTGACAGAGCCTGCGGGCAAGGCCCCCTGGCCCCTGGACACCAGTGTGGAGGTCATCGTTTCTGCAGACAAAGCCAGTAAGGACTTAAATGACCTCAAGGTAAGAGCCCATGTCCTTAGAGTGAGGGGCTGACCCCACCTCGCCCCACCCCACCCGGGGGAAGAGCTGCCCACAGCGCCATCCACCGTCACCCCACGTGTCCCTGATGCAACTCCACAGCCACCAAACCTGGAAACCCCCCCCAGCCGCACAGCGGGGCACTGTGGGTCCCCCGTGAGCCCCCGCCTGCCTGTCACCTCCACTCGGGACCCACGTCACCCCCGCACACGGACCCCGCAGCCCCCCTCCCTGCGCAGCAGAACCGCCTGAGCCCTGGCTGACCGCCTGTCCAGGCGCCTGCCCCGGGGGCCACAGCCCCTCCCCCGCAGGCAGAAGCCAGGCCCAGGGCTGACGGGGGCAGGGCTGGGAACCCGTGGCTCCGGAGTCCTGCTCTGTCAGGGCCTGGACGGCCTCCCTGGCTCACGGAGACGCCCTGAGCAGGACTTGGCTGCGGGGTCTGCAGCTCGGGAAGGCCCCTGGCCTTGGGCCGTGATCGTGGGGTCCCCTCCACTGAGGCGGCTTAGAGAGACCACGTCGCCCCTTCCCTTGTCCATCTCCTGCCCCTCCATCCCCGGCTTCCCAGTCCAGCTGACAGAGCCCAGGACCCTGGGGACCCCGTGGCCCTGGGCTTCCTGTGCCGGCCCTGCTGCTGGGCAGGGCTGTGGGAGCGTCCCCTGTCTGCGCCGTGGCCTCTGGAGGTGGCTCTGCAGGTGGCTGAGGGTGGACTCTGCCCCGCAGGTGAAGGTGGCCTACTTCGGGGAGGAGGGGGGCGAGGCCCTGGGCCGCAGCGTGCTGCTCCTCACCTGTGTGGGTAAGTGCCACCCTGCCGTCCGCGGACAGCTGGCTGTGCCCGGGTCCTGAGGGGCCCTCGGCTGGCTTCCTCCGCCTCAGAGGAAGGACTGACCCTTCCGCCCACTCTGGAACCCCCGGGGTGGACACCCAGCCAAACTCAGGGCCACGGGATCTAGAAACTTCTGTCCAGAGACCAAGGGCCCGAGCCACGGGAGGCCTCCTTCACCTAGAGCCAGGGCTAGGGGCCACCGGCATGTGGCCTGTGAGCCCAAGGCCACCCACAGGATCGACGCAACACACACAGACTAGCAGGTGACTCGAGAGCCAAGACTTGAGTGTCACCCTGGACCAGAACCACAGGGCCTCCCAAGAGTAGGGGACGGTCCCCTGGGCTGGGCTTGCTGGTCCTTCCTGACCTGGGGACGGGGCTTGCCAATCTGGACCTCACGGGGGTGAAGATGGGAGCCCTGTCCACCCTTCCCAGATGTTTCCCTGGACGTCGACACTGACCGCGTCGGCAAGGTCAGGAGAAGCGGCCGTGACAAGGTGAGGCCCGCCCGGCTACCCCAGGACCCGGGGCTGGCCGGCAGACCTGGGGCGGTCTCGGGTGGACGGGGCCCCCCTTCCACAGGGAGATGGATTCCCAGGGCCGTGGCCTCGGGCAGCGAGGGAGCCACCCAGGGATGGCACATGGGCATGAGAGCACGGCAGCGTCTTCCCTTGTGACTGCTGGACACGGCTCTCCGTTGCTGCCTTTTCTAATCTGGGAGCTGCATCTGGGCCCCACGCAGGGCGGGTGCTCCATGAAACGTTGATGAGTGACTGAATGACCTCCTCCTGGTAGGGGGCCGTGTAGCCAGCCCAGTTGGACCAGGGAGGGTGAAGAGGACAATGGGGTGGGCTCCGAGCATCACACCACAGGAAGTAGCTGGAAGCTGTCCTGGAAGGGGTGGAAGGAACAGCAGCCCAGAGAGGCAGCCAGGAACACAGGGCTTTGTGGATGAGGTAGAGTAGGGCCGTCGTAGGAGGCTGTGCAGGTTGCTCACTGCACAAGGGTGCTTGGTCTAGGTGGTAGGTGGGAGTATAATGCAAATCATGTGCATGGGGGTGGTATCTATCCTGAGAGGTGGACAACTGTGCCAAGGAGTGCCGTATAGGCCGGCAGTGGCCCTGTGAAGTCATGTTCAAGGTGGGCAGCCTGGCCCCCAGGTAGGGATGAAGCTCAGCCAGCTTTGAGACCATTTCTGGACTTGGCAACGTCAGCCTTGCTCCTCCAATGTCGAGGCTAGGCAAAGTCGCCGTGTATGGTTGCGCAGGTTGTTCACTGTACAAGGTGAGGCCTCACCAAGTACGCTAGTCCCAAGTCTAAGGTCCCTCCTTAAATCTTTGAGCAAACCCAGGGGACAAATTCTCCGAGCTCGCCAGCCAGCCCGGGCCACGTGGGAGTCCTCTCTGGAGCCTCCTGCTTCCCAATGACCTTCCTGTTTTGCCTCAGAAAACCTGGCGCTGGGGCCCTGAGGGCTACGGAGCCATCCTGCTGGTTAACTGTGACAAGGACAGTGACAACTCCATGGGGCCTGACCTTCAGAACAGCCAGCTGATGTCCCTGGAGGGTGAGTGACAGGAGTTGGCAGGGGTGGGAGGGGCCTTGGGGTGGGTGGGAAGGGCCTCCTCAAGGGGCCACTCTCCCCAGACCTGCAGGACATGTCCCCCATGGTGCTCAGCTGCGACGGCCCCGACGAGGTCTTCCACAGCCACAGGCTGGTCCTGAAGGCGCCCTGGCCGGATTCCAGACGGGTGCGGGTCTTCTGCCCGCGGGGTGAGTGGTGGCTGGGTCCCCTCCTCTGCCACCGTGAGGGGACCAGCTCAGCATGGTGCCCAAGGAGGAGGCGCGGGCAGCCCACTTCACAGAGAGGGAGACTGAGGCCCAGATGCACTGTCCACCCCCATGGGCCAGCGGCGGGGAGCAGGGACCCCAGCCCTGGCTTCCTGGGCCAAGTCCCGCCTGTCCCCACTGGACAGAACCTGGCTGCCGCTGGGCTCTGTCCATGCAGGCAGGACAGGGGTGGGGGCCAGCCAGCTGGGCCCTGTCCCCATTCCCTAGGGGCTGGAGTGTGGCTCAGAGGCAGGGTCCTTGCCAAAAATGCACCCCCCTGACCCCAGCCCCGACCGCTGCTTGCTTTATAACCTGCTGCCCCTCCGCCCTCCTCTTCTCCCTGACCGGGAACCTGGGGCCCCAAAGGACCCTGGTGGACTGAGGAGGTGGAGGGGAGGCGGGGCCAGGAGCTCTGAGCCCAGACCAGGGCGCGGCAAAGCCCTGCTGTGAGCAGAGCCAGCCAGGGGACACCTCCAGCAACCCCCGCTGACCACGGCCACCAGGTGGCTTCGCCTCCCAAATAGGACCACACCCGTCAGCACCTCCTCCCCTCTCGTCCCCTACCCTCCCGGAGCCCTGGGCGACCGCCGGTCTGCTCTGTCCATGGGGACTGACCCGTCGGGAAGGGCCTTGTGCCTGGCTTCATCCTGGGTCCTTGAGGAGCCTGCAGGTGCGGCCTCACGGGAACCTTCTCACTTTCTACGGGTGGACGATGTCCTGTCTTCTGGCTGCAGCCCATTTTGCTCAGATTCACCCGGGGTGGACACTGGGGTTGTGGTCACCTTCTGTGCCAGGCGCTTTCCTCTCCTTGTCTGGTTTGAAGCTGGAGGAGGAACCGAGGCTCAGAGAGGGCGAGGCCCGAGCCAAGGACACACAGCGGGCTCGGAAGAGCTCAGAGCGGAACCCTGGGACGCCGTGCTCCCTGCGCCCCTGCTGTCCCCACGCCCCCGCTGTCCCCAGCCCTGACTCTGATCTCCTCTAGGTGGGGATTCGCTCTCTGACTACAAGCAGGTGCTGGGGCCGCAGCGCAGGTCCTACGAGGTGGAGCGGCAGCCGGGGCAGCGGCAGGTCCCGTTCTACGTGGAGGGCCTCGCCTTCCCCGACGCCGAGTTCCCGGGCCTGGTCTCCCTCAGCGTCAGTCTGATGGACACAGGGGTGCGCACGGCGTGGGGGCTCGGCGGGGGCCGTGGCGTCTCGGGGTCCTGGGGTCCAGGCTCCCTGCGGGGCTGCTGAGTCCTCCTCTCCCCGCAGACCCTGCCAGAGGTGCCCCTGTTCACAGACACCGTGGCCTTCCGCATGGCCCCCTGGATCATGACCCCCAACACCCAGCCCCCTCTGGAGCTCTACGTGTGCAGGTCAGCTCCCCGCCACCTGGACGGGTCCTGGAGGTCAGCCACAGGACAGCTGGGCACAGGACGGCCAAGTGGCCTTGGGCTGTCGGCTGTAGGGACCACAGCATCCCTGCCCACCTCGTCCTGTTTTGGGCTTAGTGTGGGCAGCGGGTCCAGGTCCTGCTGGAGGCCACAGGAGCCCTGGCCCCTCTGTCGTGGGGAACTCCCGGGCCCACCGAGGACATCAGTCCCTGTCTCCAGGGACCCCCCAGGGGCCCGGGTCCGTCAGCCAGCTCTGAGTCTGGGCCGGCCGTTGGTGAAGGGTGGACCTGCCAGCCCTGGGCCCTGGGTTGGAGCGGGGGAAAGGACACACCGAGCTGGACGCAGACCCAGGGCCGGGGAGGGCGTGGCCAAGCAGGATTGCTCTGCCCACCTGGCCCAGGTGTGCCCAGGTGTTCCTGGGGGCCTCCCTCTGACCCCTGGGCCAGGCCTCTGTGTGAGCAGGGTGGGGGCCAGGTGCCTCCCACTTCTACCCTGACCTGTGACACTGCCAGGGCCACTGTCACGGGCCCCCCCCCACCTGTGCTGGTTCAGATGCTGGCCGCCGGGCTCCACGGGCCCGCCCTGCCCTCACACTGCGTCTCCTGACGTCTCCTGACGTGACCCGGGACGTCACCCACCTCTGCCATGGCCCCAGCCTCCCCGGGACAGGGGTCAAATCCGACGCTCCCCCGCAGGGACTTGAGGGCTCCAGGCCGTGGTCACGGTCACCGTGACGCCCCTTCTCCCTGGCCCTTGCAGTGTGGTGGACGCTCACGGCTCAAATAAAAAGTTTCTGGACGACATGGCCCGCCTGGCCTTGAAAGCCAGCTGCAAGCTGGTCATCTGCCCGCGGGTGGACAATCGGAACGACCGCTGGATCCAGGTGGGCAGGGGTCGCCTGCAGGAAGGGCCTCCGTCCCCCTGGGAGCCGGGACCCGGGGGATATGGCCTGTGTGCACGGCCAGCGCCTGCCCCCGCCCCGTCCTGCTGCTTGGTCCCGGGCCCTCGCCCCGTGGAGGACCGGCTGCCCGTCCCGCCCCCCCCCAGGTCTGCCTGGGCTCACCTGTCGCAGGGCTCACCGCGCCTTCCCCCCTCCCAGGACGAGATGGAGTTTGGCTACATCGAGGCCCCTCACAAGTCCTTCCCCGTGGTCTTTGACTCTCCCCGGAACAGGGGCCTGCGGGACTTCCCCTACAAGAAGATCCTGGTGGGTGGCCGAGCGGGGACCCCGGGGGCGCCTCCCAGAGGAGACCCTGCTCAGGTCTCGTGTGGTCCTGGGGACGGAGGCTGGGGAGAGGGGGGCAGAAGGGGGACTGTCAGCAACCTGGGGTCCCCAGGGGGCTTGGTCCGGGGATGCTGATGAACAGGGAACCAGCCCGACTGTCCCCGTCCCCATCCTGGGACCTGGGAGGAGTAGAACACCAAAGTTCTTCTGGGTAAGGAGCTTATTTGGGGGGTGAATCAACAGAGTGAGCGGCCCTGGGGAGACCAAACTGGTTTTTGGAGAGAAAGCACTCTTGGTGAATCCTCGCGGACTTTGCTCTGAAGAGCTGGGGTCTGTCTTCAGATGTTTTCTGAACCCCTATCGCACGCCAGGCACTAGGCTACCTTTTGTGCACAGGAGGCAGCAGCAGCACCTGCCATCGTGTATTGAGTTCCAGGCACTGTTTCCTAGCGTGCCATGGGCCAACTCATTTAATGCACTCTGGGCCATTAATAAGTCCTGTTATGTTATCCGTCTTTATAGATGAGGAAACTGGGGCTCAGGGAGGTTAGGGACCTTGCCCAAGGCCGTGTGGTGAGCCAGGGGTGGCCTCAGTAGACAAGACCAGACAGGCCGCCTCCTGCCTCTGCGGCCCCTGCACTCCGTCTGTCCCTGGGCTCCATGGCCTTTTGAGGGGGTCCCCTGTCTCTGCCTGCTGCTGGGACAGTGCTGGCCCGGGTGGGAGCCGTCAGGAGAATGTCCATGGGTGCACAGAGCAGGGACACTCGCCCCTGCCCGGGGCCAATGACGAGTGAGTGTGTCCACCAGGGACAGCGTGTGGGCATGAGGGCGGGGCCGCCCGGCCGCCCAGGTCCTGCAGATGCGGGGCCTCCTGTCCTCCCCTCTCTTCTCTGGTGACCTCGACTTTCCTTGGGACTCGTTGGCTGTTCTCCTCCCCGCGTGACGGGGACACTGAGGGCTTTCAGCCTTTCCTCTTCCTGGTGTCACCTGCAGAGCGCGGGGTCCCCAGGCGGCACCCTCCCCGGCGCCCTGACGGTTCTGATATCTTCTTCCTTCGTCTCCGGGACCTTCCTGGCCTTTGATCTGTGACTCTATGGACACGTGCTGCTCTGTTCTCAGACACCTGGTGACTTCTGGTGGCCCTTGGTGACCGGCTTTGGTGGCGCAGTGCTGAGGAGCTTTTCAGGGTGGGAGGGAATCTTTTCCGTGGTGAGAAGGTCCAGGGAGAAGGGCCAGCCTCCTTCCCCGCTGCCCTCCTGTCCTAACGGGTCCCTCCTGGCTGGGCGGGGTCTTGCTTGTCCTGCCCTAGGGTCCTGACTTTGGATATGTGACCCGGGAGATCCTGTACGCTGGCCCCTCGGGCCTGGATTCCTTCGGCAACCTGGACGTCAGCCCTCCCGTCGCCGTGGGCGGCCGGGAGTACCCCCTGGGCCGGATCCTCGTTGGCGACTGCTTCCCCAAGTGAGAGGCCAGTGGGGGGAGGTGGGCCTGGGGACAGGGCGCCTCGCCACCAAGCCCCCTCTCGCCAACCCCGTGCCTCAGTCTGAGAGGTGGCCTTGACGTCCCTCCTGGGCCCGGCTCCGAGGCCTGGTGTCTCCACGGAACCTCAGGGGGAAGCAGCGCAGGCTGCGGTAGCTGGGCCGCCTGAGTCGTGGGCCTCTAAGTGTCCCCCGTGAAGTGTACCTCGAAACAAGACGGATTTCCAGCTTCTCTGGGATCAGTGGATGAGCCAGGGCGGGGCTCTGAGGCAGGGGAAGGGACCCGTTGACTTCCCCTCCGGGAGCCATTACAGCTGCCGTCCTGGCCACGGAAGGGCCCAAGGTCACCCATGCCCAGGGCAGGTGACTGCAGGTGAGTGGTGGGCCAGGATACCAGGGACAAGTGACAGGGCAGGCCCACCCTGGAGAGCTGGGATAGGGCAGGAACAAGGTCAGCAGGGCTTAGAGCTCGACAGGTGACCATGTCTGTGACGTCGGGCCACATGGGCCTGCACCCCACCTGCAGGGAGCCAAGAGGGGTGCCTGGGGTTCCCTGCTTCTGCCCAGAGACTGTGCCCGCCACCAGCCCAGGGGCCCCTGTCCCATCTGTGGGGATGGCATGGAGCCTGGGTGAGTTCCACCTTGACCCCGAGCCCTGGCTGGCCGCTGCCAGGCCCAGAGGAGGCAGGCAGAGCAGGGAAGGCCACACAGCCTCACCCGGCGTCCCTGTGGCCCCAGAGCCCTGGACCAGGTGTGGGAGGGTTTCTGGCCCTGAGTCAGGCTGGGGGCAGGGCCTGAGGGTGGCAGGGGCCAGGCGCTCAGCCTGCCGTGACTCACACTGCCCGTGCCCACTGGACCCTGCCCACCCCTGGGGCTGAGAGGCCTCCAGATGGTCTTGCTGTGGCCTCCAGATGGTCTTGCTGGGATCCGAGGGACTTGGGTGCGAGTCCTGGCCTTGCCACTTGCCAGCCTCGCGGTGGGGTCTGTTCCCTGTCCGCTATCCGGGGCTTGCCGTGGTGCCAGGCCCGTGTAGGTGCTCACTTAATCCACTTAAAAAGGATTGCCGATGCCAGGCTGGGCTGAGGGCACTGGGGAGGGGCCTAGGGACGTACTCCAAACCACACGCCTCAGGGCCCCGTCCATAAGATGAACCCAGTGACCCCTTCCAGCTACCTGGTCAGCGTCCCTGGGGACAGACCCTCCCCTTAACACCTCGTGAGTGTGAGGTGTCCCTGGCTGTCCCCCCATCCCCCAGCCATGCGTCTGGGGTTGGAAGTCCCTGGCCACATACTCTGTGCCAGTCCCATAAAGCTCTGCCCAGGTCACCCCCCCCACCCTCACACAGCCCCATCTGCTGGGACGTCACTGTCCCCATTTTACAGACCAGGAAGTCCAGTGACCCCCTTTGTGCAAGAATCTACAATTCCCATGCTCAGGGTGGAGGCTGGGCAAGGAAGCAGCCCTTGAGGGTCTGTAGGCGACTGAGGCTGACCACACCCCGTGGGACCAGAGGGGGACGTCTGGGGCAGCGGCCGCGTGGATGAGTCCTGGAGCCGGAGCCGAGCAGAGGGCGCCACGGGGTAGAGGGACCTCCCACCGGGACCTGGAGGCCAGAGTTAGGTCTCGGGAGCTGCGGGAGGCAGCGGGGGAGGTAGCGGTGGACGCAGGGCAGGGATGGACGGGTCCGCCCCAGGCAGGGCTCAGGCAGGCCCCACTCAGGGAGAGTCGTCGGCCACCGCCCTGGGCTCCGAGGCCTCACGACGCTGTCCCTGCCTCAGCAGCCTGGGGACCCGGTGTCAGGGCTGAAGGGCTCAGAGAACACAGGATCAGGAAGGGGAGGCTCTCCGGAGGAGTCCAGGACTGTGTCCCCCTCTCTGGCCTGTGTCCCTACGTGTCTCTGTCACACTGCTGCCCACATACGCCCTCCCTGCCCACCTGGCCAGCCTCCCTCACCAGCCTCCCTCACCAGCCTCCCTTGCCAGTCCCCCTCGCCAGCCAGCAGAGCCAGGACCCTGGAGCTCCCAGGCACAGGGAGGGGTGCCGGCTGGGTGTCCAGTGTGGCGGTGCCCCACCCCATCAGCGGTTAAAAGTCAAGAACAAGACCCTTGGTGGGCAAATGGGACCCTGAGGCTCAGAGAGGGGCAATTCTTGTCTAGGGTCCCACAGCATGTTCACGGTCCAGTCAGAATCCAGCTCCTCTTGGCTCCCAAACCCAAGGTCAGCAGCTGGGGCCACTGCCCTGTCCTGGCCCTGGCTTCGGGCCAAGTTCACTTTTGGCAGGAAGGGGCAGGCCAGGAGCCCACCTAACGGATAAGTAGCACAGGACCGTGACGAGGGTTTGCGAGCAAACCTACAGAACTCCGTGTTCCCGAGCCTCGGTTTCTTCATCTGTAAAGTGGAGCCGGTGGAGTCCTGCAGCCCCCCGGCTCTCCACCCCGCTGCCCTGGGCTCAGAGCATTCTGTAAGCAATTCCGCCCCCTGGTGGTGGCTTTGACGGTGACTCAGAGGCAAAGTCTGATGCCTCCCAGGGCTGGGTCAGCAGGAGTCCCTGCGGCTGGACTGAGGAGGACGGTCACAGGGCTTCAACTGGCCAGTGGAGGGCTCAGGGCTGGCTTCTGCCCTTTGTCTGGGGTCGAGCCACCGTTGGGTGCAGGCCTGGGAGCTTGTCCACGATGTGACCTTCAGCTAGACGAGCAAGGGCAGGACGTAGAAAGCAAATTGAAAAAAGTATCCAAATAGATGGGACGCGTGTGTGTGGCCAGGATGATGCGATGTCCCGGGGGACAGGCGCTCCTGACTTCGGCTGCCTGGTTTGTGAAGTGGGGCACCAGGGTCCCTCCATGCACAGTGCCATCTCCCACAGCAGGGGGTGCTGTCTGGCTCCACCGTCCCCTGCTCTAAGCCCCTCTCTGGCCAGGCAGTGGTTCTCAAGCTCTGGAGCACCCAACAGTCAGATGGTCATCAGAAACCCACATTCCTGAGCCACATCCTCCAAGACTGTGAGGTGTGGTGGGCATCAGACCCCGGCCCCCCGCACCACCCCTGTGGAATCGAAGCCCGGCCACCCAGGCCTGCACGTTGGGAACCTGGGGCTGACGGAGGGGCTTATCAGATCTGGTCATATTTTGAGCAAAAGCTGTGTGTCCCCTGAGTAGGAGGTCAACCTCTCTGAGTTTGGGCTGGGATGGGGTCTCCATTCCTTTACTAGATGGAGCTCTCTGCAGTGACTCCTTTGAGTCAAGGGACACATTCCTGGTCTTGAGGAAGGTATGGGGGGGGCAGGCACCCTGGATGGCGTTCGTATGAAGACCACTTCCTGGGGCAGGGGCTGCCCCACAGCTTGAGTCGCGCTGGGCTGCGCGACGGCAGGGGCCCCTCTGGGCCAGAGTGGCCTGACCGAGGCTCTCCTGCCTCCCTCCTGCGGGGGCTTCCCTGCCGGCCAGGCTCCCATGCGCTGGGCATGGTGTGGTTGGGCCTGGAACCAGGTGAGGTCACCTCAGCAGCCTGAGCCTCAGTTTCCCCCTCTGGGGAGGAGGACCCAGGTGTGTGGGGGTGCCATGAAGTGCCACTGGGTGCCAGCGCGCAGTGGGCACTGGGTGACTGCCCGCTGTCCCTTCCTGGCAGGTCCGGCGGGCGGCGGATGGCCAAGGTGGTGCGCGACTTCCTGTGGGCCCAGCAGGTGCAGGCGCCCGTGCAGCTCTACTCGGACTGGCTCTCCGTGGGCCACGTGGACGAGTTCCTGAACTTCGTGCCCACCTCCGACCAAAAGGTGTGTCCCACCCCCTCCCCCGAGACCCCTCTGCTCCTGTCTGACCCCAGGGACGCCCCAGGGCAAAGCCACCTGGAACCAGCTCAGCCCTGTGTCCAGAGTGAGCTCCTGGCCAGGGCCCCCTCGGTCAGGCGGTGTTCATCAGGGGCGGCTTCCTGGGGGAGGCGAGAGCCTCGGACACTCACCTGCTCACCGCCCGCACTCGTTCTCACACCGAGTGTGCGTTCAGAGCAGACCCTCAGCCAAGAGCCAGGAGTGCACTGGTCCTAGTTGGTGGAGCTTACTGAGCCCCTACTATGTGCCAAATACGCCACATACGTTAATGCACGTAACCCTCCGGCAAGCCCGGGAGGCAGGTGCTCTTATTATTGCCCCCATTTTATAGGTAAGGGAACTGGGGCTCCGAGGGGCTGGACTCACCCAAGCTCACTCAGTCTGCAGGCGGCAGAGTGGGGTTCAAATCCAGATGTGGGCCCTGGTGACCACCTTAACCTCTGAGCTCCTCCGCCTTGCAGAGGGGGACGGGGAGGCTCCCCGGGATGGTGGTTCCAGCCCAGGGAGAGGCTGTGGCGGGAGGCCCGGGCGCAGGAGGAACATGCTGAGTTCCACCTCTGTCCCTGGGGGAGCAGCAGGTCGAGGCCGGGGGTGGGGGAGCTGGCGGGGGAGCTGTGGCCTTGCAGGCAGCCTTGGTGGCTGTGGGAGGGACGGAGACGAGCAGGGAGCCCCAGGCACGGCCTGGCCCCCAAGCTTGGCCGGTCTGGGCCAGGGTCCCCTGCACCTGAGCCCCTGCCCTCTGCCCCAGGGCTTCCGGCTGCTCCTGGCCAGCCCCAGTGCCTGCCTCAGACTGTTCCAAGAGAAGAGAGACGAGGGCCATGGGGAGGCGGCCCAGTTTGAGGGTGAGTGTGCTGTGGCTCCTGTCACCTCTTGGGGACACTGCCCTTTTGTCACCAGCCCTGGGGCCGTTGGCCAGCTGTGGGATCAGCCAGGGGTGAGCTGTGAGCCCCTCGACGCCTCAGTTTCCTCTTACCCCCTCCTCGGGGGGTTTACATATTGATACTAAGTTAATATTAAATATCACCTTAATGGCTCCCCCAGAGCGTGGTGGGCGGTCCCTGAGGGCAGCCGGCTGTAATTACAGGCCCCGTGTACCGAGGGCCTTCCAAGGGTCTTATGACCCGTGGCCAGGTCCTCCCTGCCACCCCCGCTGGCCCCCGGGGTTCCCGGCCTCCTGCACCTGCTGCTGGCCCTGGTGCTGGGGTGGGGGCACCCTGGCCTGGGGTCTGCGCCTGAGGCCTGTCATTGCCTCGCAGGGTTAAAAGACCAGGCCAAGAGGAGCATTAATGACATGCTGGCCGACAAACGCCTCAGGAGTGACAGCCTCTACGTACAGGTGACGGTGACGGCCACCTCCTCCAGGAGGGCTGCCCCGACGGCCCCTGGGGTGGGGGGCTGGGCCTCTGCAGGGACGAGGGGCTGGGAGAGCCCACAGGCGGGAGGAGGAGACAGGCCGTGCCCCGGGAGCGCTGGGGACACAGTCGGGTCTGCTCGGGGAAGTGACCTACTTCCGAGTCGGAAAGCAGGGCCAGGGCTCAGGCCGGGCAGGGCTTGCCCTGGGTAGTGCCCACTCGCGCAGGGCACAGGGCCTGGCAGGGGCTGGCGCAGGGCTGTGCTCGGCACGGGGGTGGGGGCGGGCGCTGCTGGCCCCCCCAGAGGTGGCCTCGCTCCTCCCTCACCTGCTGAGGCTGAGCACAGGCAGGAGACGGTGCATATGTGACGAGGACGTGGTCCAGGTCCAGACCCCAGCTCCATGACCTCAGGCAGGCCTTGCGCACCCCGGGGTCCCCGTCACGGGGCAGCAATGTCCACGGGGCCCCACGGAGCTGCGTGCGGCTGTGGCGCTGGGTGGCCTGGGCAGTGACCCTCGTGTCCTGGCGGCCTGTCCCCCCAGAGGTGCATCGACTGGAACCGCGAGGTGCTGAAGCGGGAGCTGGGCCTGGCCGAGGCGGACATCGTGGACATCCCCCAGCTCTTCTCCCTGCAGGGCACCCGCGCCGAGGCCTTCTTCCCCGACATGGTGAGGGTCCCCCGGCCTGTAGGGCGCTGGGGCGGAGGACAGGCGGCCATGGGCAGGGCCCGCGGGCTGCACCCTGAGGTCCCTCCCGAGCTGGTCGCGTGTCCCAGGGGTCACAGGTGGACGTGGGGGTGCTGTTGGCACCTGTGGGCAGAGGCCAGGACCGCCCCCCACCCTGGTTCATCTATTTCCCCAGGGGGTGCTCCGGGGTCTGTCTCCAGCCTCCCTCCACCCTGGACCCCTGCTGGTGGCTCCCCGGTGGGCTCCCGAGCTGGCCAGGCTGGGCAGGCGGTGGCCTCTCCCTGGCCCTCATTCGCTGGGCAGCTGACGAGCAGATAAGCAGGTGTGATCTCACCTGTGTGTCAGCAGGCAGGAGCTGAACGATGCTATCGGGCAGGCCTGGCCAGAGTGCCCATTACCTGGGAGAGGACGTGGGCCCCGGGGTGGAGGTAGACCCTCCTCTCACACGGCAGGGTTAGCTCGAGACCCCCTCATGGGACAAGGGATGGAAGTGAATCCCGGGGCCGGGTGCAGATTGGAGGCAGGTGGGGAGGCCCCAGGAGGCTCCTGACCTCTCTCTGAGGCCAAGACCTCCGGGGCGGGGTCTCTCCCTCCAGATTGGTGGACGACTGGGCTGCTGCAGGCTTTGTGGTGGTGCACCCCGGGCTCAGGGGCAGGTTCAGGGGCATCCTGGCCTCTGCCCACTTGAAGCTAGTCAGCACCCCTTGGTCGCGACAACCCCAAATCCCCCCTCCTTGAGGCCCAGTGCTTGAAGGCACTGCTGTCTTCTGGAACCTTCTGTGCTGATCACAATGCTCTGGGTACATGGTGCAAGACAGTAGCCACTGAGCCATAGGTGACCAGGGGACACTGAAATGTGGCTCATGGGGACGTAGAACAGAATATGAATGTGACTTACTGTTCACTAATGCAGCCCCAGTGGGGAGTAGCTGCCCCTTCTCCTCCGTGAAGCTCTAAGGAACCCTCGGGCTCTGCTCTGGTTGAAGCTGGGGAGCCCGAGCTGCCCTCTGTCCCCTGTCTGCCTCACCCCACCCCATCACGTCCTGGCCCATCAGTGGTCACTGAGGCAGTTCAGGACCAAGGCCACAGGACTGATCCCATGCACGTGGCCCTGCAGGGCAGGCCTAGGGGGAGGGGCACGGAGTGTGAGGGCCCAGGATCCAGGGCAGCCCACCCAACACTCAGGGGAGAGTCCAGGACCCCCTGGACACCAGGGGCAGCCCCATGTGGCCTTTGCCATCCTGCAGGGCTGAGATGTCCCCTGAGCAGCGGCCATGATCTAGCACCAGGGAGGCTTCTGTTCCCCACATTAGGACCCCAGGCCAGGTCTACAGCCAAGGGAAGCAGAGGTGCCACTGCAGATCAACTCGGTGTCCCCAAGGGCTCCCAGCCCCTTCCCCCAATTCCTTAGCCCCACAGGAGACTCCACTCTGGCAAGGTGTAAAGAGCATGAGTTCTGGTACGAGTTCAAGTTCAAGGTCTAGTCTCCCTGTTCTCTGGCTGTGTGGCCTGGATTGTGTTTCCTAACCTCTCTGAGCCTCAGAGGGAGGCCATGAGATGTAGTGGCGATACATTGGGCACAGAGAGGATGCTCAGTGAATGTAACAACGCGGGAGGCTGCCAAGGACCGCAGGGCCGGCTGTCGACTGCACAAGCACACCCACCCATGAGGGCTGTGACCCGCGGGCGTGTGGCTTTGTGTTTGTTGTCTAAGTTTCTGGCAGATGACAGCAAAATCTCTTGTTCTAACAAGAACAAGGGATACTGATGTGACAGTTTTCTTAAAGACGGAGGACAGTTTTGAAGGAAGGGGTGACTGATGGCCACGTTTACCGTGTACGCTGCCGACGGCCCTGGGCACTGTGGGCGCTGCCCTCCAACCGCGGTCCGTTTCTTCTTGGCCTCCGCAGAGGTCCTCGGGCAGTCCCCAGCCCTGGCGCCTGGGAATGCTGTCCAGGAGCAGCAGCCCTGGGCGTGGGTGGCAGCAGCCAGAGCTCGAGGCCCACGTGGAGCCTCCACAGCCGCCCAGCCTCGTCCTTGCCCTCTCTCCTGCAGGTGAACATGGTGGTCCTGGGCCAGCACCTGGGCATCCCCAAGCCCTACGGGCCCCTCATCAACGGCCGCTGCTGCCTGGAGGAGGAGGTGCGCGCCCTGCTGGAGCCGCTGGGGCTGCACTGTGTCTTCGTGGACGACTTCCTGTCCTACCACAAGCTGCTCGGCGAGGTCCACTGCGGCACCAACGTGCGCCGGGAGCCCTTCCCCTTCAAGTGGTGGCACATGGTGCCCTGAGCCCGCCCCGCGGCCCTCTCGGCCTTCCTGGGGGGACGCCACCAGGGTGAGGATAAGGACCAGGCCGCGCTGCGTCCCCTTGAGGAGCCTCTGCGCCGCCCCCCAGCCCTGCCACCGTGCTGGCCACCACGGCACGGGCTGCAGGGGCGGACACCTCCCTTCCTGGCCTTGGAGAGACCCACCAGCCCGAGGACCGGCCTCCTCCCCCCCAGCCCCCTGCCACGGCCCCCAGGGGTTCTGGAGGAGGCGGGCAGCCTCAGCATATTGGAGAAGAGCAGCGATGGCCTCGGCGGGCGGCCACTCTGAGTGCTCCCCTCCGCTCGGACGCCTCCCTGGGGCACCAGAGTGGCTTTGTGCCCACATCAGGTGTGGGGCCCAGTGTCCCAGGCGCTGCCCCAAGGACCCTGGTTTTGAGCCTCCTCTGGCTCGTGCAAGACCAGGAAGGGAGGTCCAAAGTGTCCTCTTTCCAAAGGGGACCCAGGCTGTGATCCCCAGCGCCCTGCAGGTGCACGCAGGCAGACAGGGACCGGAAAACCCAGTGGCCAGGGCCTGTTAAACAAACAAACAAACAACAATAATAACAAAAGCAAGCCACAGAAACCCTTTAATGCCTGACTCCGTCCTCAGAAGGGTGCTTGTTACTGTACCTAGAGCCTTTAATTAGGAGAGCAGGCTGCTTCCGGCTGCAAAGTGCTGAGAGGCAAAGTGAGGCCTGGGGAGGCCAGTGAAGAAGGCCTGGGCAGAAGGGTTGAGGCCAGAGTGGCAGAGGAGGCTGGGCGACGATCTCGGGCCCCGGGGCATGGGGCTCCTGGGCTTTGGATTTTGGACTCTGAATCTGAAGGCAGTTGGGTGTTCCAGATGTGGCAGGGGGTGGGGGACCATTAGGTTATCTCTGAGGGTGCGGCTTAATTTCCTTTAATAGACTTAATTATTCCCCTTCGCTCTGCGGGCAGTGGGAGGGGAAGGCTCACCCGCTCTCCCTCAGTGACCAGGGACCCTGCATGTGTGCCTTGGGTTTTGCCAGTGAGTAAGCCCCTGTGGCAGGAGGAAGGACCAAGACGCCATGTGAGGCTAATAGCCCTGGTGAGGTCACAGGCGTGTGCGAGCAGGCTGGGCCGGCTGGGCTGCAGGCGCGGCAGGAGGGAGCCGGCAGCCTGCCCTCCTGCCCCCACCGGCCGTGGGACCCGGGGCTGTGGGCCCTGGACTTCTGCCACATGGCTCTTGTGGCCTGGAGCTCCTTGGGAACAAAGGCACCTGGAGCTGCCGTGGCTGGGTGGGTGGGAACCCGGATCTTCCCCTTCCAGAAGGTTCCGTGGAGCCCCATCTGCAAGCTCCCGCTCCTACCCGAGCACGCTCTTCTATGATGGTGACCAGCTGAGGCTGAGCCAGGAAGGGAAGGACAGCTCTTCAGGGCTGGGGGTGTGAGGCCGGGGTCAGGAGTCCCTGGGGAAAGAGTCCTGGAGGGAGGGAGGAAGAGAGGAGCCCAGGGAGGTGAGCCTCGAGAGCCACGCGGAGTGTGGGGCTCTGGAGTCGCTGCCAGGGCTCTGGGGGTCCCGGCGTCTGGTCTGAGAACGCTCTGGGTGGCCAGTCACCTCTCGGATCAATAAAAACATCAACATGCATTTCGTTACCCGGCTGCCTCCTTGGCCTGATTTCTGGGCTAGGGGAGGATGGGTTGTGTGGGTGGGGAGCCGGCGTCCGGGAGGCCACCCTGCCGCCGGCTCCTGGCTCAGCCTCTGCTGGCCGCAGGGACAGCACCTGCATCAGGTGAGTGAGCACCAGGCAGGCAGCTGGTTCAGCAGGACGCTGGGCACATGCCCGTCACCAGGGGCACCTGCCCTGCTGAGATGGCTGTTGGAGGAGGGTGGTTCCCAAGGGTGGGTCCCACCTCTTCCTCTCTCCTTGCCTGGGCCACCTCCTCCATCTGTCAGGGATGCTGAAGACAGCTGGCGGGCTGGACCCTGTCAGCAGAGGGGGAGATTCCCCACAGGGCTGGCACCCGGGCACAGGGCACCACAATGCCCAGCCTCAGCAGTTTCATTTCAGAGGCCTGGAAATATCACCCCTCTCAACTTCCGCACCTGCTGCTGCCTCTGATACACCCTTGGGTGCTCACTCACTCACTAGTTTTATTTTAGCTTGGGGCCCATCAGTCATGGACACTTAAGTCTGAACGAACCACAGATCTGTTTTTGGAAGCTCGGGAGAGATGAAGGAGTGGACCTGCTTCCAGAGGGAGACATGGGGCTCTGAGCAGTCCCTGTCCCCAAGCACAGTGGGCCAGCACCCTGGGGGAGGCCACCAGGTTCTCTAGCTGTTCCCTGACTGTGCTCAGAGGCAGGTGAGGGAGACAGTCTGGGGCATCTTTCCAAACTCTTCGTTCTTCTTTCAGAGCTGAGTTGGCCACCAAGTCATTTTACAGATAAATAAAGTGAGTTGTCACTGGGCCCAGTGGCCCGTGGCTCTCCTGGTAAGAACACCCTTCCAGAAACTGGGATTTAGAAGCAACAGCCTGAGGGCCCAGCTGAGATCCCTGGACTGATGCAAACGTCCCAGTGAGGACTCTGGGCAGCGGTCCTTGTCCCCACCCTGCCTCCGACGGCCAGCAGCACCAGGGAGGAGCACGGAACCCTCTAATCAGCACCTTCAGAGCCTCCGCCAGGCAGGGCGGGTCCCCGCCATTATCTCTGCCAGGATGGTGATTAGCTGCATTTTCTGCAGATGAGGAAACTGAGGCCCCGAGAGAGGAGGAGACCCCAGGCCACTTGACGGGAGCCTAGATCTAGATCTGGACCAAGATCCCTCTTCCCAGGGCCCTTGCTCCTGAGGAGCCCGAGTGTCCCTCTGGCCTCGGCTTCCCCACCCGACAAAGGGGCTTCCTGCTCTGACATTCTGAGCTCCCGTTGGTGGGAGAGGATTTTCATTCTCGTCACTTGTCCCTTTCAGGGGTTTCGGCATCTAATATTAACAACAGTAATAAGATAACGCCTGGGTCCCCAAGAGCTCTATCAGCATTGGCCCATTTCAGCCTCATGACAACCATTTCTCAGATGGAAAAAGTGAGGCTTGTCCAAGGTCATCCACCCCAGAAGCGGCCGAGACAGGTCTGAAATATTCCTGCCTCAAAACCCAAGCTCTTATGACAGACGCCGGCGCTTCCTTCTCAAGACCATCAAAATGCTTGGGGAGGCTTGTAAAAGGTCCCAATGGTGCTGCAGCCCTGACCTCCTGCCTGAGGCTGCAGGGGACCTGGAGGGGGCACTTCCACCAGCTTCCCCAGCAGGGTAAAGCAGCTCCCCCCTAAACCTTGTTTCTGAAAATGCAGGGAAAGGGGTGCCGGGGTGAGCCAGGGCCAAGAGGGAGACCACGCATTTCTGCCCGTCCTCCTCCCCTGCCCCCCACAACCCAATGCCCTGGCTGGTACTTGTGGGGACTTGCTCCCCTCTGAGCCAGGAATTAACTCGAGGTGGAAGCAACAGGTTCATATGCAAATACTGGGTTCCTTCCAGCCAATCTTGAGCGCTTGCCTCTGGAAAGAGGCTGGGCTTCCAGGACCAGAACCAATGAGCATGCACCCTGGGCTGGAAGGGCGGGACCGGGGACATTTAAACCACATCCCAAAGGGCCTCTGGGGTAGTGCTGGGTTTGGTGGCCTAAGCCCAGTCCAAGGCCAGCATGTCACTGCAGAGGATTGTGCGCGTGTCCCTGGAGCATCCCACCAGTGCCGTGTGCGTGGCCGGTGTGGAGACCGTCATTGACATTTATGGGTAAGACCGGACGGCCAGGGGTTTGTGCGTCCTTGGCTCTGACCCCATGGGTCTTCCTCTCCAGGGGCTGGGAAGAACTTCCTCTGGGCTTCCGCCTGGCCTGGCCTGGCTGTCCACTCCTCAGACTTGGCCTTGGAACAGCAGCCAATCAGGGAAGCTTGCTCAGGTTCCAGCAGGGGACTCCAACTGCAGGAGGCTGAAGCTCAGTAGAAGAGACTGGCAGTGGCTGAGCTGGGTCTGGGGACTTAGAGGCTGCTGGGGACTTAGAGGCTGCTGGGGACTTGGAGGCTGCTGGGCACTTTCCCCATCCAGAGATCCTGTAGATGGGGCTGGGGGTCTGTCTCAGACATATGAATAGGAAGAGGTGTGTCCTTGCCCAGTAATCCCCTAGCTTTTGAGGCTGAGAACGCAGCATGGAACCGGGTTTTAAAGACTGTGTCTATCTCCGCGGCACCTGTCGGCTCCAGGCAGTGTTCTGGAGCTCGCCAGGCCCTTGGAGTTTAACTCTTGAGCTAAACTCAGCAATTCCACCCTGACGACGAGCCTGTGGTCTAGGCTCATTGTGAGCATCATCTTGGCTGACAAGCAAAGGCCCAGAGAAGGTGAAACATTTGCTCAAGCCACACAGTAACAAGTGGCAAAGCCAGGGTTTGGAGCCTGTCACAGGCTAGCTCAGCTGTCCTGACACTTGAGGGATTTCAGTTCTGGTTTCCTCCAGCCATTCAACGCCCATGCATTAGGCCCCAACTGCATGCCAGTCTAGCACCTCATGACTTGTGGTTTCTCTCTCCCAGGAAGGAAAGGAGGGTCCGGGTAGGGGTTTAGGAGCTGGGCTCTAGGGAGCGCCCAGGAGCCAGCTTCTTAGGCTTTTGAGGAGTCTCGTTTCTGAGGCTGAGCTGGGGACAGGCAGTCAGCCTGCCTGTGGTGGGTAGGGTGTGGATCCCTGTGACCGTTTCTGCCTCCCAGCCTCCCTTTGGGCCAGGTTTCTGTCCATCTCGTCCTCATGGGGGGTCCTGTGACTTGTATGATATTGAGCAGTATCCTTGGCCTCCCTCTGGAGGCCAGAGACACCCCAAACCAAAATGTCTCCAGATATTACCAAATGGTCCTAGGGCGTGAAGTGACCTGCTGTTTCCTTTCTTTTTTTCCGTACTGGGGATTGAACCCGGGGTGCTTTACCACTGAGCCACATCCCTAGCCATTTTTATTTTTATTTTTATTTTTTTGAGATAGGGTCTCACTAAGTTGTCCAAGCTGGCCTCAAATTTGTGATCCTCCTGCCTCAGCCTCCTGAGTAGCTGGGATTACAGGTGTGACCACCATGCCTAGTTAAAATCACCCACTCTTTGAGAACCAGCGTCCCAGACTTAAGAATTTAAAGATCCAAGTGAATTTAGTTGGAAGCCAAGATGGTCCCAAAGTGTTGGATGGCGAGGGTGAGAAGCCGGTCATGGTGGGGGCCAGCTGGCCACCAGGAGCTAAATCCTGGTTGAGGGGCAGGGGCATGAGGGTGGGAAGAGGAATCAGTGGCTCCTGGGGCCAGGAGGAGGGTGAGGGGGGCAGATCCCTGCTGCCCGGCGCCACTGTCTGCCCCAGGGCTGCGTGCCCACGGGGGTGACTCACTGCCCCAGCTGCCGGGTGCCCGTTGGGCAGAGGTGTCTTCAATTTGACCTGTTTCAGGAAACCTGGAGCAGGCAGAGGCCACTGGTCTTGGGGCAACCTGAGCGAGATGGGCCCTGCTGAGGAGTCACAGAAAGCGGTGTGTGGGGGACAGCCACGGGGTGGGGGTGGGCAGAGACTCCAGGTCTTCAAACCTGGATCCTTAAACTGCAGTGCCCCGCCCACCCGGGGCCGGTGGAGCTTCTGGTTGGCTCGCTCACACGTCCATCAGTGTTTCCTCCGGGGCTGGTGCATGCCAGGGCCTGGGGACCCCGCAGGCTCAGCCACCGCTTCCGCCGGCCCTGGGGGTCTAGCAGGCTGACCAGCTTCCTGCAGGGGCCACAGAGAGGACTCCTGTCTTGGAAGGGGAGCCCCCGGGGTAGCTCCGAGGGTTTGACAGGCCTGGGGGACTCAGCCTGGGCACTCTTGGGGGGAAAGGGCGTGAGGTGTGGTGACTCAGCCCTGGTCTGTGACACCCCAGCTGTCTGGTCTTGGAAAGGTCCTTTGTCCCCGCAGAGCCTCTGCGTTCCATTATCAGCGTGGAGACGGAGGCCCGCAGCCCCAGCGCTTGACACACTCCAGCAAGTTCTCAGGCCGCCCATGAAGGGAGGCTTAATAGCTCCTTCCAGTGCCCTGAGGGGTGAGCGAGCCCCAGGCCCAGCCATGGCGCAGGCCCGGCGTTCTACCCTCTCAGGGCCATCCACGGGTGGCATGATCATCACCCCCTTCTTATGATGAGGGAACGGGTCACGCAGCCAGTGAGTGGCAGGGCCAGGAGGGGACCCAGCGGTTTGGCCTTTACTACATAGGGCAGGCAGGAAGGCTGAGTGGGGAGTGGTTAGTGCCCAACCTCTGGGGGACACTAGACTGCGGTGACTGTCGCACCATCACCACGTCGTCATAGTTTCAGGGCTCTGTCCTGAGCCTGGGTGCGGCACCAGGTGGCTGGGAACAGCACCGAGCCGCATGGGGGAAGAAGAAATGGAGAAAAGAGGCTGGGCAGTCAGGGAGGGCTTCCTGGAAGAGGAGCCTTGACGGACGGGCACTGGGCCTCGCTGTCCCCCATGCACCCTGTCCTCCACCTCCCCAGGAGTTGCAGGTGGCTCAGGCCTGGCTCCTGAGCAGTGAGTCCTGGGACCTGGAAGGGAGAGGGTAAAACGCAGCCTGCGCCCTGACTGGCCGGCTCGCTCACCCCTCAGGGCATCTAGAAGGAGACATTCAGTCTCCCTTTCACAGATGCAGGGAGGCAGCTCAGAGGGACAGTGGCCCAACCGTCCTACCCTGCGAGGCACAGCCAGGGCTTCCGCCCAGCTCTCAAGGGCCGAAGCCAGCTGGCCGCTCTTCTCCTGGGCACTTTCTCAAGGATGGAGCTTCGGGTTGAGACGGGGTCCTCAGACTCGAGTCCTGGAGGGGGAGGGGTCTCACCAGGCAACATCGAAATCCCAGGAGACTCTGGTGGAGTCGCCCCAGGGCCCAGAGCCATGGGGTGGTAGGTGGGCTGGACGCATTCCCACAGGGCACTCCTGGAGCACAGGAAGTGCTTCTCGGAGTCTGTCAGGTTGTGGCTGCTCACGGGCTGAAGGGCCCTCGGAGCTGGTCACCTTTGGGATCTTTTTTGGAGAGCAGTTGGTCCTCAGGCAGGAAGGGACTGCAGAGTGTTAGGGGCAGAGGTGAAACTAAAAGCCACGTCACCCAGGTCAACCAAATGGCTCAGAATATTAGTGACAGGGAAACTGAGTCACAGAGGTGCAGAGACTCACCTGGGGGGCTTGGGGACCCTCTGTACTTGGCTCCGAGGGCCCTGGAGCCCCGGGTGTTCTCAGAGACCCCAAGCTGTCAGGTCCAACCTGCATGGCTGCAGAGGGCCCGGCACACACAGCAGTCCAGGGGCCACCAGATGTCCCTGAACTCCTTCAGGATGCCAGCCCAGACGCTGACAAGAAGGGGCAACCTTGACCTGGGGGGTATACAACTCGCTCACCTTGGAAAGACCCCGAGAAGCAGCACTTAGAAAAGCCAGAAGGCAGGGAGTCCCCCATTGAGCCACATCTCGTGGGCCCTGAGCAGGAAGTAGGCTGCCGCCTTTCGCCCGGGGGGATCCCTCCTCCATTAGCAGGTGTCTCCTGGGGGACCATGCCCGGGGAGGAGCTGTCAGCCTCCTCTTCTCCAGCAGAGTTGCTCCACCCTGGCTGTGCCTTCGAATCACCCGGGGACCTTAAAAATATACTGCTGGGCCGGATACAGGGGCGCCCACCTGTGATCCCAGTCTCAAGAGCCTGAGTCAGGGGGACTGCAAGATCAAGGGCAGAGCCTGGGCAACTTAGAGGGATCCTGTCTCAAAAATGAGGATCGTGATGGTAAAGGTAAAAAAGAAAAACCCTGCTGGGCCTCTGGTGGGGCCCATGGCGGGGCACCTGCTTCCACGCGAGGCCCTGGGTTCCCCTGTACATCGGAAAGCCTGGCTCCCTCACCGCCAGGGGCCCAGCATCGATGGCTCTTTTCAGCACTCCTTAGGGATAACTGTGCGGCCAGGGTTGAGAACCACCACCCTCACTGGGAAGGACACTCAGCTCCTGTCACCTAAAACGTGTCTAATGGAACTGAGAGGGGAGTAAGGACCTTGGACTGGGTGACAGGAGGAACAACATCTAGTGAGCAGGAAGGTACCGCGGGACTTTATGTGGGCTTCAGGAGGGGACAGCACTGATCCTGGGCCAGGCTGGCCCTGAACAAAGGGAGAGGGAGCTTTTACTGACTTGCTGAGGCGGGCTAGGGTCTGGTCCCTGGTCAGGGACACGGTTCCAGAAGGGATTCTTCTTGCATCCGACGGCCAAGGTCACTGTCCGCCTCTACCCTTGAGGCTGGCACCACCATCCTGTGTCCACATCCTGGCCTCTGGCTCCATCCAAGTCCCAGGACAGGCCTGAGGGTTCGGGGACTCAGGCTGCTGTGGCTGCTGGAGTAGCTCACGGACAGACACCAGCCCCAGGGGGCGGGGACACAGCTGCATGCAGAGCCCAGGGGAATGTGACCCGAAAGTGAAGGCAGCAAAGGGACCGATGCCACATGAAGACAGAGCTCCCCTCGAGGTGCCATCACACAGCTGCGGACCCCAGTGAAGACTCCGATGTTTGGTAAAAATAGCCTTCAGGTCCCCGAGGAGTAACCTCGGCAACGGTTAGCGTCGTAACCCACGCGTCAGAGGTGTGACATTGGAAACTAACGACCTGTTGCCCGGCTGTGTGGCTTCCAGTATTAGCGACTCAGTCGACAAGAACAGGCGAAGCCGAGGGTTTATTTAGGCTTTTCTCTGGTGACAGTCTCATCTGGTGCAAAAATTCTGCTTCTCGAGCTTCCTCGGGGTCTCGTGACGGGCCTGCTGAGCAGAGCGTACCCTGCCGCCACGGCCCCTGCGCCCCGCGGTGTACCGCACTGTCCCCGCCTCTGTCCCTCCACGGTGGCCCTTGATTGTCTCAGACCAGAAGCCCTGAGTTTGGGTCCCAGTTCTGTCAGCTCGGCTGCGTCATCTTGCATGACTTCCTGCAGCTCCCTGGGCCTCCGTTTCCAGGGGCACCTGAAGGGTTGGCATTGAGCAGGGGGTTATGCGCTCTGCTCTCGGGGGCCTCTGAGCCCCATCCTGGACTTGACAGGCTCTGTCCACGCTGGACGTTTGAGGCAAGAGCGCTGATCTGGAGCTGGGCCCTGAGCAGGCGCGTCTTCCACCTTCTCAACTGCTCGGGCCTTGGGAGAAGTCCTGGTGGGGCCACCATTTCCCAGGGCAGAGCAGGGCGGGGTGCAGGGCATGGGATCAGGAGGACAGAGGTTTCCTGGACCTGGTTCTGTTGTGAGGCTGGCCTGGGGAGGGGACTGGGACCCTTGCTGACTGGGGAGAGATGCAGAGCCCACTGGAATCTGCCATCCTGGGGGCGGGGGATCTTATTTGACATCTTGTCCATCTTTCTCTGTTCAACCACAGGGACTTTCCCCTCAGTCTCCCAGCTCCTGAAGTGTTTGGTTTTGTTCTAGAAGCTGAGGCCCTGAGCCCATGAAGGGAGAGGACGGGTTCGGGTTTGTAGTGACCATAGAGCTGGCTGAGTCTATGGCTCTGTCACTTATCCACTGTGTGGCTTTGAGCAAATCACCTGCCATCTCTGAGCCTCAGTTTCCTCACCTGCAAAGTGGGGATGGTAGTGCACATGCCATGCAGCTGTGGGAGTTCCCTGCACCCACTGTCACCTTGTGGTTGTCACAGGGAAAGGGAGAGATGGGTGAGTGTGGAAGAGCTGGTGGTCGGTTCCCAGAAGGGTGACCTTGTGCTGAGCCACCTGTATTTGCCCTGGGGGACCAAGGTCCAGCCTATCTGGGGCAGCGCACCCTGAGCCCCGTGCTCCCTCGGCAGGCATCGGAATGGTGTCCAGTGATGGCTTGGCTCCAGGCCACCTGCAGTCCTGCCCCTGCTGCCACCAATCTGCTTTTCCCTAAGGTGGGTCAGAGGCCGGCCACCTTTAGGGGGACCAGCTCTGCCGGCTTGCTGGGGCCTGGCACGTTGTAGTGCTGGTTCTGAGTCCATGACACAGCACCTGGGTCCCAGTGGAGCAGCGCTGCGTGTCGCCTGCTGCCTTCACCATCCTCAGGGGCTGGGCGGCCTTTGGACTGGCCTCGCCTGTGTGGCCTCGGCTGGGCCAGGAGCACCGTCTATGGCAGGACTCGGCCACACATGGCAGCTCAGGGTGGCCTGGCCTGAGGGACAGCTGTGTCCAGGGGAGGCTGTGCAGGCTTCCCTTGTCCTCCAGGAAATGGGAAATCCAGCTCCTCCTGTACCTGACATGGGGTCCCCTCCTGGCAGCCATGGTGACAGTTCCAACGCACAGTGTCCAGGACGGGGCGTGAGCTCAGGGCTGGGCCTCTGGAAGGTGCCTTCTGGTCACTTCTGGGCTTCAGATTCCCTGGCAGTGAAATGAGGGCATGACCTTCACTCATCCGAGGTGCTTTTTGCACACGGGGGCTCCTTCCATCTCCCCAGCGCCCCAAGCCCACCAGAGACACAGGCACTGAGCGAGGCTGTCCGCCTGAGTCCCCCAGGGCTGAGGTCCAGACCCAGGCTACCTCCTCGCCTGACCAAGAACCATCGCTGACTCCCCGTTACATAGGGATGAAGCAGAGACCAACCCGTCGCAGCCTGAGTCTGTCTGCCCCTGACCTGAGGCTGCAGGACGGAGACCTGGGTCCCTCCGAGCAGGCTCCTCTACCAGCCTTTCCCGGCCGCCCAGCCTCACCGCTCCTTCCGTCCACCTGTTTCCTGCGCCCTGCTTACTCTCATTGTGACTTCCCCGCCCGGGAGGGCTGTTCTGAGCCTTTCCTGTCACACTTGAGCCTGGCCAAGTGGGAGTCACCTGGGGGTCCCCTGGGAGCCAGCCTGGTAGGGACCCGCCTCCTCCTCTCTTCTGGGCCCTTCCTTTCCCCAGCCTCGGAGGCAGCCTGTTGGCCTCCTGCGTGAAGCCCTCCTTCTTGGGCCACTGTCCTGGGGCCCCTCCCAGGCAGGGATGCCTCCAGCTTCACTGGGGATCTGGGGATCCTTCGCCTCCCAGGGGACGGCCCAGGAAGGTGTTGGGGAGCTGGGCTGAAGGGCCCCCGGCCCCAGGGACAGCTTGGGGTCAGGAGTTCCATAAAAACGCTGAGTCCCTGGGATGCTGACATTTTCCTGGGTCCGTCTCCCCGTCTGTCTTCCTGACTCTGTCTCTGACTCTCCATCTCCAATGGTAGTTTTTTGTTTTTTGTTTTTTTTTTTTTTTTTTGCAGCTCTGGGGAAGGAACCCAGGGCCTCTTGTGTGCTGGGCAAACGCTGTCCCCTGTGCCTCACTCCATGCCTTTTATCCCCATCTCTCTGTGTCTCCAAACTCTCCACTCGGCTCCTCCACATCCCCTGACAGAGGCTGGCCCACCCACCCAGGTCAGAGCAGCCAGACGGCACCACCAGCCCCAGAAGTGACAGAAGTTGGAACTCCAGATAAACAACGAACAATTTTTAGTATAAACATGTCCCCAAACCTGCATAGGCCACACTTATACTAAGACAATTATTTGTTGCTTATCTGAAACTTAAGTCTGTGTTTGCATTTGCTGAATCCTGCGCATGGAAGGAGAAGCCGGGCGTCACCCCTGCCCTGGGGACGGGGCCTGCGTCCCGCCCTGCCCGATGGAGCACGGCTGGGTCTGGTTTACTTCTCTTTATAGAAAGTCACTGTGAGAAGTCAGAGCCACCCTGGTGGAGGAGGCTGCAAGGGCTCCTTCCTCTGAGGCTGTCGCCTGGGTGGGGCAGCTGTGTGAACGCCAGGACGCATTGGCCCATCCTGAGACTCGGTTTCCCCAGGGGTGATGGAGTAACAGCCCCTTCAGAGGCTGTGGCGAGGATCAGGAGCGGATGTAGGGGGAGGCTTAGCTGGGCGTCCACAGCAAGTGTGCCGGCCAGGCCCCGAGTGTAGTGATTATTGCTGTCCCTGGGAGCCAGCCTGGTGGGGCAGGATGTGGCTGCAGGAGCCAGGTGGCCTGGGTTTGGATCCCAGCCTGCCCTTCCAGGCCTCATGACCTTGGGCGGATTTCTTACCCTCAGTTTCCCCATCGGTAAAATGGGAGGCAGCGGCAGCACTCGGCTCATAGAGCTCCTGAGAGACCTACATGGTACAGCTCACAAAGACGCTCCACAGGGCCAGTGTGCAGTCAGGGCCCCTCCAGGGTCGGCCACTGAAACCCAGGAGGCCTTCTAGCCCCTCAGCCACAGGGGCCTCTCCCTACATGGTGACCGCTGAGCCAAGACGCAGGCCTGCAGCCATCTGCCCTGGGCGATGCCAATCCTCAGCTCCCTCATGGGGTCTAAGGCTCTGAGGCCATTGGGAGAGTGGTACATGCACCTGCTTCAGCCCGCAGTGCCGGGGTGCACAGCAGGAACCCCATAATCAAGGGATGGACAGGCTGGTTTTCAGGCAGGGTTCCCGGATTAGCAGGAATGGGGAGACACCGTTCCAGGGACCAATGGCATTATGGAGATTTTAAACCTATAATTAACACCTGGTTGTTTGATCCAATCTGGCCAAGTTTCCCCCAGGGGACACGGCAGTGCTGTGAGACAGCCTGGGCACAGTGTCAGAAAGAGGCAAGTGCATGCTTGGCTTTGCCATGTGATGCTGTGTGACTTCAGCTTGTTGCTAGACCTCTCTGAATCTTAGTCTCTCCCTCATCAGATGGGCATGATTCTGCTCACTTTGCATGTAAGCTCCCTCTCACACACACACCCCCCACACACACACAGCACACACTCAGTAAAAACTAATCCCAAGGACACTTAATCGCCTGCTAAGGAGCCATGTCGGGGACCTGGGGTGAGAATGCTTTCCTAAGCTAGAGACGCAGAGCCCCACGGAGCCCGCTGGGCAGAGGTGGGCCTGGAGCAGGCAGTTGGGTCCTGACTGGGGAGGAGTTGGCAGTTCTGTTGGAGGCAGAGACACCCTCGAGGGGAGAGGAGTGCTGGCGGGGTCTTGTGGGCGGGGGGCTCCACGCCTGGGAGCTGCTTGTAGGGTCCCACGGCCCAGGGTGGTCCTGGAGGCGGCGGGCGGGCACCTGAACAAGGGCTGCCCTCGGCATGTCCTCGTCTCCTGCTCTCCCAGGTCGGTCCCCGAGGGCACAGAGATGTTCGAGGTGTACGGGACCCCCGGGGTGGACGTCTACATCTGTCCCAGCTTCGAGAGGAGCCGGGAGCGCGCGGACACCAGGCGGTGGCACTTCGATGAGGGCCTGGAGATCGTCGTGGTCATGAACTCCCCCAGCAACGACCTCAATGACAGTCATGTGAGTGGGGCCCTGGCCTGGGGAGGGGGCAGAGGCGGCCACCCACCCACAGGCCCACATCCCCTCTCCCCAGTGTGGGCGAGCGCCTGGCCCTGGGGCCAGAGGCTGGGGTTCGAGTCCCAGCTCTGCAACTCGAGAACCACAGTGTGACAGTCCCCACTGTGGCCCACGGGTTGGCTCGGGGATCTCGGCTGCTCCGAATGAAGAAAGGCAAGCTGGGAGGGAGGGACACTCCTGCCCAAGGAGACGCCCTGCCTAGGTGACAGTTCCCTCAGGTGCCTCAGTTTCCCCAAAGACACTCTCTTCCTGACCCATTTTCAGGACGGGGCGGGGGGCATTTAAAACATGGAAGAAATGGGTGACCTTTGAGCTTGGCACCCCTCAGAGGGCTAAAGGGGCCCAGGACTGGGGTGGGTGGAGACGTGGGCCCCTCCATGGCCAGAGCAGCGCAGTGGAGACTGACCACGTCAGGCTCGGGGCGGCGGACGCCATCCAGCCACACACCAGCGGGTGACACGAGGGGCGGGTCCCCCTTTCACAGGGACTCAGAGCAACTCTTCAGGGCCTCTCAGCTAACGGGCAGGAGGACTAGATCAGCGCAGGTGGCAGGTGGCAGGTGGCCTTGTCCCCTCTCTGCTCCCACCCGTGGGGCGCGTGGGCCAGGGCTCACTGAACCCATGTTGCAGATGGAGACACGGAGGCCAAGGGGTGTGGGTCCCCTGAAGTCCCACCTGCTAGTGAGCAGCAGAGTCAGCGAGGGGCAGGGCAGGTGCCCCGAGCAGCACGGGAGGAGCGGGCAGCCTGTGGAGGGTGCCCGGCAGAACGGGGGGCTCTGGGGCTGCCTCCCCACCCTGAGCTCCTTGGCCCCGATGGCTGCTAGGACAGAGCAAGGCCAGGGTCCCCCGCCCCCCTCCTGACCCCACCTGGCAACGGGGATCAGTCACGGCAGGATTCAGGAGCTCTCAGGACTGAGCGGGTCGGGGGCCTCGGCAAGACCTCCTCCCTCCGCTGAGTTGAGAACACAGAGCCCGAGAGCGGAGCCCACGTCTGGGGGAGGTCCGAGGACAAGCAGGCGGGAGAGGACTTGGGTGTCTCTGCCTCCAGCCACCTCCTCACCAGCCTCGGGGTCCTGGCCTCAGCAGGGACCGGGCCGCTCCAGCCGGCAGCACGAGGAGCCCCCGAGCGTCCCCACCGTCCATGCTGTGGGGCGGGGATTACTATCCCGCTGTTAGGAAAAGTGAGGCCAGTAACCCCCCCACCAAGGTGTTCACCCCTGACGGATCCAGGACCCGAGCCCAGGCTGTCCAGAGCCCTGCACTTGACCCTCCCATGAGGCCACCTGCCTACCGAGGACAACAGCTGGTGTTTCTTGGGCACTTCCTCAGGATGTACTACGATCCTCCGGGGTGGACCTACATGGTCCCCGCTTTACAGATGAGAAAACAGAGGCAGCTCTGAGAGGGGAAGGGCCTTGGCCAAGGTCGCAGAGGCCAGAGGGGCTGGGCTCAAGTCCAGGCTACGTCCAGGGTTTACCTGTTCTTAAACCTGCCTGGTCCAAACTCCTCTAGTTACAGATGGTGAAACTGAGACCCAGTGTGGAGCGGGCGCTTGCCAAGACCACATGGGGGGGTCGCTGGTAGGACCGGGACCCGGGTCTCCATAGACTCCCACAGAGAGTTCCGTCCCACAAACGGGCCAGCCCAGGCCCGGAACAATGAGTAACTCGGAGCAGGCTAAGGAAGAGCTGGGTGGGGCCGAGGTTCAGAGCCCCCGTGCTCTCCTCACAGCCTGACGGGCCCCTCTCTCCCTCCGCAGGTTCAGATCGCCTATCATTCCAGCCAGGAGTCTCTGCCCCTGGCCTATGCAGTGCTCTACCTCACCTGTGTCGGTAAGTGGGGGGCTCTGCCGCGGGCGAGGCCAAGGGGTCTTGGCTAAGGGCAGGGAGGTGGTTAGGGATGACGGCGAACCAGGGATGTCTTTAAAAAATTAGTTGTATTTTTTAAAATTAAAAAAGTACAGAAAATTCAAACAGTACAAGAATATACACTTAAAAGTAGACCTCCCTCCCTCCAAATCAGGGCTTCCTGTTCCCCAAGCCAGCATCCTCCCAGAGAGATAACTGATACATAAGCTCTGTGCAAGTGGTTCAGATGCTGAAACTCTCAGGCAGGGAGTACAAAGTGACTTGGGTTCCTGTGTTAACGGTTCTAGGATCAGGGGGGCATTTCAACAAGGAACTGAAAATTATGATTCAAAGGAAATGCAAAAATCAGTCATGGAGATGAAAAATGCCTTTGATGGATTGTTAGTAATCTGGATGTAGCTGAAGAAAGAATTGGTGAACCTGAAGATAGGTCAGTGGAAGTTACCCAAACTGTAACAAAGAGAAAAAAAAAGTGAAACAAGCAACACAGACCTGAGAACTCTGGGACAGAATCAGATGGTCTGAACTCAATGCCGTTTCCATCAAAATCTCAAAGTGGCCTTTTCATAGAAATGTGTAAAGCTGATCCTAAAATTCATAAGAAGCACAAAGAGCAAGAATTACCAAGACGAGGCGCTGGGCTTGTGGCTCAGTGGTAGAGCGCTTGCCTAACACAGGTGAGGCACTGGGCTCAATCCTTAGTGCCATGTTAAAAATTAAATAAATAAAACAAAGGTATTGTGCCCATCTACAACTAAAAGGTTTTTTTAAAAAAATAGAAGAATTACCAAGACAATTTTGAGAACAAGGTGGAAGGATTCACAGTACCAGATATCAAAAATTTTCCAAGCTATAGAACTTGAGGCAGCATGAAATTTGTGCAAGTTTAAGTACATAGACTAATGAACCAATGGAGAGCCTGGGGACAGACCCAGGGTTCAGAGGTCTGCATGGGGAAGAGATAAACTTGGAGCCCTACCTCACACCATAGCCTACAAAATTGCACATGGCAGCAATTAGCAGGAAAGTTGAGCACGTTTTATGTGTCAGAGGCATTTGCAGAAGCAGAGCTGCTGGGCTCAAGGGGATGTGTCTTTAAATTTTGATAGATGTGGCCAGATTGCTTTCCAAAAACTCTGAGCCACATTTGGTGCCTACAACAGCATGTGGGCCTCCTGGCTAGCAGGTGCAATCTCAGACTCTTCTCTTTGTGCCAGTATGACAGGTCACCATCCCCCTGGTTGCTTAAATATGCCTTCCGTTAATTAGGAGTGGGGATGGGCATCTGCCCCAGACCCTGCCCCCCAACTCATTTGAAAACATGCAGAAAATTCATAAAGCTTATTATATGTATACACACACACACACACACACACATGCACACGTGCACACACTTTAAATGAACAATTACAAAGCAAACACTGGAGTGGCGATTCTCATGTCAAGAATTAAAATACAACTAGTGCCCCAAAGTTCCCCCCCAACCCCTCTCTGATCACAACTTCCTCCTTCTCCTAAAGGTAAACACTGTTTTGTGATAATATTTCCTTGTGTTTCTTTATGGTTTTTACACCTAAATGTTCCCAGCAGATCACATAGACTGGATTTGCAACCTGAACTCTGTGGATGGAATCGTCTCTCACGTGTTCCTTTGGGTTGGGCCCCTTCTGCCCCAGATTATGTTTATGAGGTTTATTCCCTGGTGGCCTGGTGCCTGAGTATCTTGTCATATGGTACAAAAATCATTTGAGCCAGGTGTGGTGGTGCACGCCTGTGATCCCAACGGCTCAGGAGGCTGAGACAGGAGGATCCTGTGTTCAAAGCCAGCCTCAGCAACTTAGCGAGGCACTAAGCAACTCAGTGAGACCCTGTCTCTAAATAAAATACAAAATAGGGCTGGGTTTGTGGCTCAGTGGTCAAGTGCCCCTGAGTTCAATCTCTGGCACCAAAAATGAGAAAGAAAAAAATTGAAATCCCCGCCCCTTCTCTCTTAAGAAATAATATTATTTTTTCTTGATACTGGGGATTGAACGCAGGGGTGCTTAATCACTTAGCCACACTCCCGGCCCTTTTTTATCTTTTATTTAGAGACAGGGTCTCGCTGAGTTGTTTAGGGCCTCTCTAAGTTGCTGAGGCTGGCTTTGAACTTGCGATCCTCCTGCCTCAGCCTCCTGAGCCACTGGGATTACAAGCATGAGCCACCGTGCCTGGCCTGTTTTTTTGCAGGCGCACAAAGATTGATTCAGGCCCCTTGAACACTTCACTGGCACTGCAAGATCTCCCAAATTCCTGGGGAGAACTGTCAAGTTGGGGTGTGGGTCTGGGAGTGTGGGTCGCAGCTGAAGCGAAGGCTCCGAGAAGCCACACAGTTGGCAGGTGGCAGAGCTGATGCGCATCCCGGTCAGCCTGACCAGAGTTCAGGCTCGCTGTCCCAATCCAAGGAGGCGAGACAGACTGCTTCACACAAACCAAGAGTGTCCCCTGGTGAGCAGGCTCAGTGCAGGCTGTGCCCGAGACAGTGAGGGCTGGGGGGATACAGAGAGGGAGCAGTCAGGACGGCTTCCTGGAGGGGTGGCTTTGGCCCTGCCCCTCATCTTCCCGTGGGCTCTTACCCAGCCCAGGGAGGGAGGCTGCAGAGCCTCCACCTCTGGCTGTGCCTGCGGGGAGGTGCCACACCCCTGTCCAGCCCCGGACGGGCCCTGACACTGAGCTGAGAACACAGAAGTCATGATCTGTTCTGGGCTCCTGGGGACCTCGTGGGGACTCACCCACTGCCTCCCCTGCAGACATCGCTCTGGACTGTGACCTGAACCGTGAAGGCGGGCAGGACGGGAACTTCGTGGACAAGGTAGGTTTCTCCACCTGGGCCCAGGCGGTGGGGGTGGAGTGTGTCAAGCCACTGTAAGCCCAGGTCACGGGGAGAGGCCATTACAGGTATCCCCCTGCTTCCCAGCGGATGCTGAGGCCCAGGGGACCAGGCATGAACGGGATCTTCATTCACCAAGAGAGAAATCTTCACCAGAAATCACCAGGCACGAGGCTCCCAGCCTTGGGCTGGGCCTCCGTTTGTTGGAGGAAAGTTCTGGATTTGTGGGAAAAGTCAAGGGTGGGCAAGCGTTTCAAAAAGTAAAGGTCAGATGGTGGACATTTGAGGCCCTGGGCCGGGCGTCTTCCTGCCTCGGTGGGGTAAAAGTGGCCGCAGTCAGCACATAACCCGTGTGACTGTCCTAGCAGAACCTGACCACGGGGACAGGCAGCCGGCAGACGTGGCGCTGGCCACAAGGAGCTGACCCCGTCTGGGTGAACAGGGACCTGCTGAACGCGAAACTGTGACTGACTTCTGGACCCCATAGTGGTGCATTAAATGCAGCCGGTGTCCAGAGGAGGGTCCAGGAGGCTGGTGGGCGAGGAGGACTCGGCAGCATTCGGGTGCAGGGACCGGCAGGGGCCCCAGCTCAAAGGGCTGGAGGGCAGCACGGTCAAGCCCTTCGCCTGCTCTGTTTTCTCACTGACAGCGGCAGTGGGTCTGGGGGCCTGAAGGGCATGGAGCCATCTTGCTGGTGAACTGTGACAGGGACGACCTCAGCAGCGATGTCCAGGACAACTATGACCAGCACGTGGGCTGCCTACAAGGTGGGGGCCGGGCAGCCTGGACCCCTGCTCATCCAGGTCACGGCTCAGATGCCCCAGGGTCCGGGCAACCCCCAGGTGGGGCTCTGGTGGCAGAACTGGGGGCCGGAGTGGCCACCCTGGGCACACCGTGGAATTGCTCAAAACCCACCTCAGGCTGGCGCCGTGTCTCTCTGGTGTCCCCAGAGCCAGTGGCGCTCCCATTGCTGCAGAACCTCTGGAAATAATCCACCCTGCTTTCCCCTTCCTCCAGGGGAACAAAGGATGCAGCGTGTTTGAGTACCTACTGTATGCCCTGCCCTTCTCACATATCTTGTCTGGTCACAGGAGGAAGGGTGTCACCATCCCAACCCAGAGATGAGGCCCAGAGGCCAGGAGGCTCCCAGCCTCCCCGTGCTTAGTGCAAGGTTTTCCCCTCCAGCCCCTGATCCAGACCCCACCCCGTACCTACCTTCACTCAGGGACGCCTGCTCTGCCAGGTCCACTTGGACCACAGCAACCAGAGGACCAGGCAGGGACAACCTGGGGTGGGGGTGGCCAGTGCTCCCACATGAGATGCTCCCAGGGGCCATTGGAGATGGGAACGTGGAGCCCAGCGGGGAGGGGCCAGCCCAGCATCACAGCCCACCTGTGTGGCTGCCGGGTGGCCTCTGCCCTCTCCGGGCCAGGCATGGGGATGGCGGCTCTGCATGTCGCGTTTCTGGGCAGATGAGGAAACGGGGGCCCACATGTCACACTGTCACACAGCCTCCATGGTGCTCTTGTGGTGGCTTCCAGTGTTTTCACAGCTGGGACACCTGAGTCCTGGCGCTCACTGTCCTGGGGACGAGGTGGCCAGGACAGGAGGTGCAGGGGATCCCAGCACCTCTCTGAGTCAGTGCCCTCTGTGTGGCCCCCCAGACCTGGAAGACATGTCCCTCATGGTCCTGCGCACCCAGGGCCCCGCAGCGCTCTTTGAGGACCACAGGCTCATCCTGCACACCTCTAGCTCGGACGCCAGGCGAGCCCGGGTCTTCCACGTCTGCGGTGAGTCCCTGGGCCCCCCCCCCGGGCGGCCACCCTGGCAGCTGGGCAGGCTAGGGCCCCGGGAAGAGTTCCAATAGTGGGGACCTTGCAGGCCTGGGGGTCACACCTGCAACCCCCCGCCCTTCGCCAGGGAGAGGCGGGCAGGGGCTGTCCCGTGTGCAGTCGGGGTGAGGCGCGGCCCTCCCGGCCTCCCGCTGCCCAGGCCCCTGCGGTCACAGCCGCCCCGCCTCCCTCCCAGGCCCCAAGGACTCCTGCGGGGCCTACAGGTGCGTGCTGGGCCAGGACAAGGTGTCCTACGAGGTGCCCCGGCTCCACGGGGACGAAGAGCGCTTCTTCGTGGAGGGCCTCAGCTTCCCTGACGCCGGCTTCCCGGGGCTGCTGTCCTTCCACGTCACCCTGCTGGACGACTCCAATGAGGTGGGGCTTGGCAGAGGCTCAGGGTGACACCTGGGCCCCGGGGACCCAGGTTTCTCTACTGTGCTGCTGGCTCCTCTCCAGCCAGGAGAAGCCGGGCTTTGTTAGGGACCCGGGGACAGAACGAGATCCCCCCTCCCGGCTGCCAGACGGCAGACCTGTGCTGTCCCCCCCCCCGCCCCGCGGTCCCCGCAGGACTTCTCAGAGGCCCCCATCTTCACGGACACGGTGGTGTTCCGCGTGGCACCCTGGATCATGACGCCCAGCACCCTGCCGCCCCTGGAGGTGTACGTGTGCCGGTGAGTGTGGGCGGCGGGTCCCCAGGCTCCCAGCCGCCCGCCGGCCCTGGCTCTCAGTCCCTGTCCCTGGCTCGTCCACAGCGTGAGGAACAACACGGGTTTCGTGGAAGCGGTGGCCGAGCTGGCCAGGAAGGCCGGCTGCCAGCTGACCGTGTGCCCGCAGACCGAGAACCGCAATGACCGCTGGATCCAGGTAGCGCGCCCCGGGTGGGCCTGGCCAGGGCTCCACCTGCAGGGAGAGGCCAGCCTGCCCCGCTGGGGCCCTCGGGCAAATAACGAGCCATCTCTGTCCCCCACCTTCCTGGTCTGCCACCCAGGGACAACAGGCCTGGGCGTGCAGTTCATGGACCCTGGGCCACCTTGGCCTTCAGAACCAGAGGGGTCAGGACTGACCTGGCCCTCGAGGTCCGAGGAGGAGGCCTCTGCACCTGTCAGGGCCCTCGGTGCTGTCCCAAGGCCAAAGGAGATGACTTGTGCCCAGTGGCCTGTTAGTCCATCTCAGGCCTCTCTGGGTCCACCCTGGCCTGACCCCATACTGGGACACCCTCAAGGTCATGTCCATGTTCTCATCCCTCTGCCCTGCTGTGTGACCACAGGCAAGCACATGCCCTCTCTGAGTTTCCAGCCCCTCCTCCAATCAGCAGGCATCCTGACCCCAGAGTGCCCATGGGGAGTGGGGAGCTGCTGGCTGTCCACAGCTGGGCATGTCCCCTCGTTGGCAGGATGAGATGGAGCTGGGCTATGTCCAGGCGCCACACAAGACCTTCCCCGTGGTCTTCGACTCCCCCCGGAACGGGGAGCTACAGGAATTTCCTTACAAGAGAATCCTGGTGAGTCGTCACCACAGCTGGCCTGGGAGCCGAGGGGCCACCCTGGGGTGCGTGGCACCGGGAACATACTGGAAGTTTGTTCTGTAAGGATGAGGGCAGGTTGCCAGGTGCAATTCAGGAGATGCCAGGTCACGTTGGGATTTCAGAGAAGCAAGGAGGAGCTTTTTGGTATAAGTATATCCAAATGGGGAACCCTCCACCTCCTGGACACACAGGGGTCAGACCTCTGCTGGCCCCTGATGGTACGTAAGTTCCTTCTGAGAGATGCCCTGGGGAGACACTGAGGGCTGGCATCAGCCTGCTGATCCCCAGGCGCGGGCACCCAAGGTAGCCAGACCCTGGCCCCCAGGCTGGCCGTGGCAGGAGGGGCTCGAGGGGCCGGGCAGCTGCTTCAGGTGTGTCTGAGGGGAGCACAGAGCCACCTCAGTGGCCCTGTGACCAGGGGCTGGCATGGCCTAGGGCCTGTGTTCTCGGCTTCAGCCCTAGGCCTGCATGAACTGGCTGCTGGGTCTGACCCGTGGTCACTCAGTCTGCCCCCCCGTGGTCACTCAGTCTCCTCCGCAATGGTCACTCGGTCTCCCCCAGCCATAGTGGCTCTGCCCACCTGTCCCCTGGGAGCTCAGAGCCCTGAGTCCGTCCAGTCCTCCCTGGCCTCCCCGCCCACCTGACCCCCGTCTCCCGCCAGGGTCAGGATTTTGGCTACGTGACTCGGGAACCACGGGACAGGTCTGTGAGCGGCCTGGACTCCTTCGGGAACCTGGAGGTCAGCCCCCCGGTGGTGGCCAACGGGAAGGAGTACCCCCTGGGGAGGATCCTCATCGGGGGCAACCTGCCCGGGTGAGAGGGCAGGGACTGGGCATGGTGACCAGGGCCGGGGCCAGGGACCACTCCGCGCCTCGGCACCAGCAGGGAGTGACGTCACTGTAGTCCTACATGGGCAGGGGAAGGGCGGAGGGCTGTTCCCGACGCTGTCGGCACCTGAGAGCCAGAGCCGGGACCTCGGAGATGGCTCAGTTTGACCCTTAATTCTGCAGGTGGGCCCAGGGAGGGTGGGTGACTAGGCCTGGACCTTCTGATTCTGGAATAAACAGATGATGCTGACCACAGCGTCCACCAGTTAACAGTGACAGAAGACAGGCTTCTCTTCCCCACTGTCCCAGGAGACAATGCATTTGAGCCAGAGCTCATTCATACAATAGTGTAAATGACTAACAGAGGGTCTTTTCCTGAGCGTAGGGCAAGGGCTGTATGAGATGTGCAAAGTGACCTTCTGGTGACACAGACAGACTCACAGACTGTGAGTTATTGAATGCGTGGCACAGAAGAGCTGGTGGACAAGGAATGACACCACAGTGGTTATTTGCTGTGGAACAGATCAAGACACTGAGCCAATCAATTCAGTAAAGCTGTTAGAACAGACTCAGGATCAAATAGTAGATAATCCAGAGTTGAGCTTTAGAGGGGATCAGCTGTCCTCAAATACATGATCCCCCAGAAAGAGGAAATATTCAGAAGCCAAAAAGAAAACAGGATTTAAATCCACAAACCTAAAATACTGTAAGGCCCTGGGGATGCTCTTATCCACCTCTCTCCCCACTGACATCCAGGAAGGTGAAGGTGCAGCAAGAGAGATCTAAGTTAAACTCAAGGAAGAACTGCCTGACCATGGAGGGATGGAATGTGGGTGTGAAACTGGTGACTTGCAGTCTATCTATGAGAACAGGGTCTGAGGGTGGTTCTGAGGATTTGCCCAGGTGGCAGGGCCTGGTGGGTCACTGCCCTGGTGTGACTGACTTGTCCCTAGTCTGCCTCATCGGGAACGCACCTGGTGGGGTATGAAATGCACACATTATGGTCTTTCCTGCTTACAAAAGAAATGCCTTTTGTAAAGTCAGGTTCTGCAGAACTCTCGGGGTCTGGGGTCTGGGCTTCCATTTCCTCGTGGAGTCTTTCTTAGTTACGTGACTTCTTAACCCTGTGGCCAGGTCGAGGGGCCGCCGGGTCACCCAGGTGGTGCGGGACTTTCTCCACGCCCAGAGGGTGCAGCCGCCCGTGGAGCTGTTTGTGGACTGGCTGGCCGTGGGCCACGTGGACGAGTTCCTGAGCTTTGTCCCTGCCCCGGATGGGAAGGTGAGACTCGGCATCTGGGGCAGGGCCTGGGCTGCAGGGGCTGAGCCGGGCCAGGCCGGGCCGGGGCTCAGCCGTCCACGCTCCGCACACAGGGCTTCCGCATGCTGCTGGCCAGCCCCGGCGCCTGCTTCAGGCTCTTCCAGGAAAAGAAGAAGCGGGGCCACGGCAGGGCCCTCCTGTTCGAGGGTGTCATCGGTGGGTAACGGCGCTGCGTCACTAAAGGAGGGACACGGTGGCTTCAGAGAGGGATGGCTGGTTTTAAAGCAGTGCTGTCCCCCCAGATTCGGGACCCCTGGCTCCAGCCACTGCTGCCTGTGTTGGGGCGGAGCTGAGGCGGGGGGGGGACCTTCCATATGGGTGGGCATGGAGAAATTGGGGACATAGCCAGCCTGTGACCAGTACAGTTGCACCAAGCTCTCTGCTTAGAAGGTTCTGGAACTTGGAGTTCAGTGTTCTGTGTCACCTTCTTGGATCCTAATAACTTGTGTTTTGTAAGTGAAGTCCGAGGGGTAAATCAGGCATGTGCCGAAGGCTTGTAGCCTCTGCCTCCCAACCTCCCTGCCTCCCGGGGTGGGCTCTCTGCTGCCCACTCCCTCGTCCTCTGGATCCCAGCTGCCAGGTCTCCCTGTCTCTGTCACCGCCCAGGGACACTGTGGTCCTCCTCCCCCAGCAAGAGCTTGGGCCTGGGATCTGCCTGCAGGGACATGTGCTGGGGGCTTGGCCGGGGTGAGCCCGCAGCAGCGCATGGCCTGTGAGGGGCTCCCACGCTCTGGATGCAGCCCCTGCGTTGGCCGGGTGGGCTGGCGGGCCTGGGGGGAGGGGTGGGAGCCCTCCAAGCTGCACAATTTGCGGGTCTCATTCAGGAGCTGCCTGGCCACTTGTGCGCTGGGCACATGCACCAAGTCAGGGCTCCGCCTCTGGGTGCTTCGAGGGTCCACCCTGTCCCATGTATGTCCCAAGCTCAAAGGAGTGCCACATCAAATAACAAATTAAAAACCCTGTGGCAGGCTGAGAGAGGGGAGGAGCAGCGGTTGTGGGTCAGAACCATGAACGGCTCCTTTCTCCTGCTTTTTGAACGAGAAACCCACGTTTGCGTGTCTCACAGGAGGAGTCTGGAGGGGCAGGGCCACCGTCTGGGCCAGCATGCAGGGGTGTCTGCCAACTCCACCCCCTCCCGTCCCCACTGTGACCACCTTATCCCCAGGGGGACCTTCCTGAAGCCTGGGATCCCAGGGGTCTCAGGACAAAAGCCCCTTTGTCATTGGGATCATGGATTCTCCTGGTCCAGGGCCACCTGCGTAGGCACATGACCCCGAGAACAAAGCTACCCCAGAGCAGAGACTGCGGAGTTCCCAAGTATCCTCCCTTCCCAAGTGCCCCGGCGTCTGTGCTGACGTCACCCTGTGCCCAGCATGACACTGGAACCGGCAATAAAGTAGAAGCCCATAATTCCCAGTCCATCGCTCCCAAAGGCTCGATTCCTATGAACCCAAAGTAAACCTTAAAAATCCTCCAGTCCAGAGCTGCTGGGCCAGGCGGGGCGGGGAGGGGAGTGCCCCCTTCATCTTCCCTGGGGGACCAAGTTCACGGTGAGCTGGCCCAGAATCAGGTCGAGAGGAGTTACCCCACTGCCTGGCTGGGAAGGAGACCCCAGGCCATGCGGCCACCGTGCTCAGGGCCGACCCACAGGCGTGGTCATGGCTTCACAGAGGTAGAGGTGGCACCAGTATTAGGCACCCAGGTGTGCCAGACCCCATGCTTGGTGCTTGTAGACATCACCACGCTGATCCCCAGAGAGCTGGGAGGATTCCAGCCAGCCCCCTTCAGACCCCAGGAAGAGGAGGCGCAGAGAGGGGAGGCACTGGCTGGAGGGGGCAGCTGAGCTGGGGCAGCAATGGAACCAGCTGCCTCCAACTGGGCTGGAGGGACGGGAACCGCAGGTGTATGTGTGCTGGAGGGAGCCCTCTCCTCCCCCTCTCCAGCCTAAGGCCCTGTGACCACTGAGCCCCCAAGTCCCAGCTGTATGACCTTGGGTGAGTCATCTGGCCTCCCCAGCCTCGTCCCCTCATCTGTAAAGTGGAGATGATAACGAGTAGCTCATAGGGTGAGACTCCTGAGATGCTGGGCTCTGGACTCAGGGCAGCGCAGGCCAAGTGCAGGTGACCAGCGAGCGGTTGGCCTATCCTCCCTGCACCTGTCCGGCCATCTCCATGGGACCCCATCAGGCGGCAGGAAAGCTGGGCTTCTGGGGAGCCACCTCCTGAAGGGCAGGCCAGGGCCTGATGGTGTCCACTCCCAGAACTCGCTGATTGACTGCTCAGAGAGCCGATAGAGGTCGGCCCTGGGGTGGGGGCGGACAGCGACGGACCACAGGTCCCCTCAGCCAAAGGAAGAGCAGCCGCTACTCAGCGCCCTGGGGGGTTGCAAATTTCCAACTCACCGCCTTCCTACTTCCAGTGACTCAGTAAGCCTAGGGCTCACGGAACAGAGGCGGCGGGACCCCGACTTCTGCGGTCGGTCCTGGACTTGCAGAAGGCCTTGCGTGTGCAGGGGTCAGAGAGCCGTGAACATGGCCTTTGCCCGTGTGCCTCCCAGAGCCAGCGGCCCTCTACGGTCTGTCTCTCCCCTCCACAGGCAACGGGCGGGTCAGGACCATCTCCATCAACCAGGTCCTTTCCAACGAAAACCTCATCAGCTTTAATAAGTTTGTGCAGGTACAGAGGAGAGGCTGTGAGTGGGAAGTGGGCGGGGCTCGAGAAGGAGAGGGCGGGTGGAGAGTGGGCGGGGCTTGGGACAGGGGTGGGGCGGGGAAGTGGGCGGGGCTTGGGACAGGAGAGGGCGAGGTGGGAAGTGGGCGGGGCTCGGGACTGGAGAGGGCAGGTGGAGAATGGGCGGGGATTGGGACAGGGGCGGGGTGGAGAGTGGGCGGGGTTTGGGACAAGGGGCAGGGTGGAAAGTGGGCGTGGCTTGGGACAGGAGAGGGCGGGTGGAGAATGGGCGGGGATTGGGACAGGGGCGGGGTGGAGAGTGGGCGAGGTTTGGGACAAGGGGCAGGGTGGAAAGTGGGCGGGGAAAGAAACAGCAGGGGCGGGGCTTGGGTAGCAGGGGGCGGAGACTCACAGTTCAGGACAGCCCAGGCTGGAATGGCCCAGACACAGGGGCTCCAGTGCCCACCTTCCTCCTGGAAGAAGGTGTGAGTGTCGTGCACCTGAGGAAGACAGGCGGCCATTGGCTGTGAGCATCCAGCAGAGGTGTGACCTCAAACACAGGGAGGGTTGGAAGTCCGCGAGGAACATCACCGAGACCACCACGTGGGCAGGAGGAGAGGAGGCGAGAGACCAGTGGGCAAGCCGCTTGGTCACCCAGGCAGAGGACTGGCCTTTAGACCAGACAGAAGCGGTGGAGGCTGTGGGAAGTGGCCAGGTCAGGGGCAGGTTCTATGGGTAGTGTCCCCAGGACTTGCTGTTGGATTGGACACGGAGGTGGGAAGGAAGGAGAGAAACAGCCGACTTGTGGTCTGGGCAGCCAGGGGGAGTTGGAGAGTCTGCAGAGGAGCTGGCTTGGGGGCAGAGATCAAGAGTCCATCTTTCCAAGATCATTGTAATGTCATGTGTAGATAATAAAAAAAAAAAAGTCCATCTTGGGACCCATCTGAGCAGAGATGCCAAGGGGGCGGTTGTCCTCGAGAGTCTGAGCTCAGGACACAGACAACCCTATACAGAGAGGGGCAGTAGAAACTTGGGACCTGTCAGTGTTTTAATGTAGAGACTGAATGAGTCCCTAAGGAGGGAGGATTTCAGAGAAGAGGGTCAAAGATGGAACATTCCGGAACACTCTCAGTTTAGCCCAGAGGGGCACAGAGCAGGTATATCTCCACCAAGGGGCACAGAGGTGAGGTTTGTGTGGATGGTTGATCCGTGGGCACTCGGTCCTCATGCCCCTGCTCAACTGCATATGCCCCCAACACACATGGCAAGGTGTCCCCAACTCGGCCCCTCCCACCCCCAGAGCTGCATCGACTGGAACCGCGAGGTGCTGAAGCGGGAGCTGGGGCTGGCCGACCGCGACATCATCGACATTCCGCAGCTCTTCAAGTCTGAGAGGAGAAAGGCCACCGCCTTCTTCCCAGATTTGGTGAGCCCACCACCTGGGACCTGGGCCTTCCTACGATGAGGCTCCAAGCCTCCGTCCCCCAAGCGGGGACACATTTAATGGCAGTCATGTTTGGGATTGTGGTGGCTGGAGATTGGTCTGACTCCATGGCTTATGGTGGCTGTCTGTCATGGTCCCTGTAACTGGCCAAGCCCTGGCTCGAGGGTGGTGGGGGGGGAGGGGTGACACGTGATGTTGGTGGAGTGAAGGGATATTTGCACCTGGGCTCTTGGGGCTGTTCTGTCCCTGTCCTCCGGCTCGTGGTTCCAGATGGCCCCGCTCTCAGGAGCTTCCACTCTGACCCGTGGAGAGGGACACTCTCCGCACCTCTGAAAACAAGTCCCAGTGACCTACTTCATATTTCTATTTCAGTTGGGAGGGGAGGGCAAGGTGCCCCCAGTTTAAGGGGTAGGAGTGGGGGTCCAGGAAGGTTGCCCCCCACCCGGCCCTCCAAGTCTTGCATCTGAAACACACACCTGGGCCCCACTCAGTCCGGATTCAGCAGCCTGAGGGGGGGTCGGGAGGCTGCTGCAGCTCTATCCGCCCCCAGGTGGCGCTGGCGTGCCCTTGGGTCACCTGCTCTCCCTCCCTCTCCGCTTCCCGAGGAGCTGAACTCACCGTCCTGAAAGCCGCCGCGGGGGCCCTTCCCCACCACCTTTGCCTCACCTCCTTCCTGCCTCTCTGGCTCTGCCCTTCCTGCCTCTTCCTTCCCGTGGCCCTGCGAGGTGCCCCTGGAAGCTTGGGCAACGTTCCGGTCCTTGTGTTGGCAAAACGGAGGCTCTCCCCAGCGGCCTCGGCCAGAGGGACACTGCGTAACCTGAGGGCAGGACAGCGCAGTGGGCCGCAGGGGGTCCTGGGCCTTTCTCCTCTTGCCCTCCCTCTCCCTCCCGGGTGCTGGCTGTGCTGCCCTCCCCTGGGCAGGTCTGGATATGGCCACCTAACTAGGTCCCGCATGGGCGGAGACGGACTCTCCCGGGGTCAGCTCCGACCTGGGTTAGGGTGGGGGTTCGCGGGGGCCGGAGCCGTTGATTCAGCGCTGTCCCCCCCCCCCCAGGTGAACATGCTGGTGCTGGGCCAGCACCTGGGCATCCCCAAGCCCTTCGGGCCCCTCATCAACGGCCGCTGCTGCCTGGAGGAGCAGGTGCGCGCCCTGCTGGAGCCGCTGGGGCTGCACTGCACCTTCATCGACGACTTCACGCCCTACCACATGCTGCACGGCGAGGTCCACTGCGGCACCAACGTGCGCCGGCAGCCCTTCTCCTTCAAGTGGTGGCACATGGTGCCCTGAGCCCGTCCCCCCAGCCTCCCCTCCCCCCGCAGTGGTGGCCCCCGAACAACGAGCATCAGGAGACCCCCAGATCGAATGCGGGGGGGGGGGGTGACCCGTCCCTCTCAGAAACCTTTCCCTAGAAGCGTCCACCCCTCGCCTGCAGCCTGTTTGGTTCTCAGGCATGAATCTTCTTGGCCTCCCGCGAAGAAGGACCTCATTTCTGTGGTTCTCATGTGATCTATATGACCCATGGGGACTCCCCGCAAAAGTCCCCTCACCTCCAATTCCTCTGTTTAGTGGGAGATTCGCTTTGGGGTCTAGAAGTTTCCACACATGTCACCAGCCATCTGGGCCTGTGTGTCCTAAGCCAGGAAGGCCCTGGGATTCTGCTTTGGCCTGGTTTCCTCCTCCCCCAGGGACACAATCTTAGAGTCAGACCCCTCCACACAGGACAGGAGACATCCTGCCCAAAGCCACCCCCGTAGAGAGGGACCTAAGGGTTCATTTAGGACAAAGTGGGACCATCATCCCCCTCTAAGCTCCGGGCCAGGTGGTGAACTCTGTCCCACCCCACCTGAGCCTTCATGTGGCAGGTGCCTGTAGAGTCACATGAGACTTATGCGCACGCCCCCATCATCTGACACACAGAACCTGAATTTCTGGAGATAAAAGTGCCCTGGGGAATTGGTGGAGATGGAAGACCTGGGTACGAGGATGAAAAGTGTCTTTCAGAGCTCACAGGACTGGCCCTGGGGGTCCACCTCCTGATGAGGGTGCTTATTAATCCTGGGGCTTCTCTGTGCAGGGGGCACCCCTGATGAGTTGGCCCTGGCCTAGGCCTTCTGTTGACCTCGGGTCAGGGTTTCCCCATCCTGCCAGGCTGAGGAGAGGCGGACTAGCAGGGCTGGGTCCACGGAGACAGCTCTGGAGGGACAGCTTTGGGGATGAGCTGCTTGGGCCTGGGGTGGGCGTGGGGAGAGGCTTGGTCTGGGCTTCGAGTGTGTTCTGTACACGTCCCGCTGCGTTTCCCTCACAGGCTAATAAATCCGCAGAAATACAAGTGCTGTGGGTAGAACTTTGGCCCTTTGGGCTTGGGGTGGGACAGCAAGGATCGGGGACTTTCTGCTACTGAAGGCCTTGTTGGCCTGGCCCTCCAAAAATTTGGGGCTGATAAACCCAAATTTGGGTAAGCAGGTAAAGTCGCCGTAGAGCAGGCTGCGGCTGCCCCTGACGGCTCTGATGAGCGGGAGCCCCCGGGAGGAGGCCTGCGTGGCAGGGCAGGGGTCGGGCTGGAGCTGGGGTGGCCCTGGGGCTGGGGTGGCCCTGGGGCTGGGGCCTGGGGAAGCCTGAGTGCCATGGAGCCTGGTGCCTGCTGTGGCCCTGGCAGCACCCATCTTCCCGCCCACACCCATGGAGAGGCTCGGCCCACCCTGTGACTAGCCCAGTGGGCTCCCCCGGGGTGACCCCAAAACCAAAAACCACAACCAGGAGATCCAAGAGTGAAGGTTTGTTAGTCACCAGGTGAGGAGCGAAGCAGTGTCTCTCTGGGCAGAGACGGCAAGGGACTCTGGGGACAGAGGTGCCTTTACCCACTGGAGAGACCGTCACAGGTAAAGGCCGTGCTTTCCTGCGCATGGGCAATTCCGGAGCCGACTTCATGCACTGAGCACTTAGAAACGGCGGTGGGGTGGGGGTGGGGGTGCCCTGGGTGGCGAGTGTGTAAAGAGGAGTTGGGCGGCCATTGGCTGGTCTAAACCAGTCCCGTCTGGTTTTCTCATCTGAAAAGAGCAATTTAAATGGGTGTTAGCCATCCTGAGGGGCAACAGCCCCCCAGCCCGAGCACAGCCCCAAAGTTCGTGCCCAGCAGCTGACAGCCCCCTGTGGAGCACCAGGGGCGCCTCCCACCCGCCCCTTCCAGAGCCACCCCCACCCCCACCCCCAGTTTCCTCCTGAGGAGCAAAACACAGAAACACACCCAGGGCAGCTGCCAGGTGACAGGAGGGGACACCACAGGCTTCCCAAGGCTGCCCTGGCCGCCCAGTACTTCCAGTCTCCCAGCGCCCCCTCACGTGCCCAGGTCTTGACAGGATGAGGGCACCTGCTCCCCCAGGGGAACCATCCTGCGGGGAGGCTGAGGGAGTCCACACACGGGAGGGTTTAGGGCGGGAGAGTCCCTCCCGTTGGGAGAACAAGATGAGGTGCAGGGGCCTTTCCCACCCCGTGCCCTCCCGGCCCACAAGCTCCAGGGGACTTAGGGTCCCCCTGTGCTCCAGCTGGTGTGGGTGGGACAGCTGCACGGCGGGAACCCCAACCCCACCACGTGGAGGGGGCAGGCAGACTAAATCCCGAAACGCCATCCACCTGCGACCTGGCAGAGGACACCGTGACTCACCTTCCTCTGGCCTCCAGCACGTCACCAACTCAGTGGCCCCGAGTCACACACATTCATCTCACTGGCCAATGTCACTGGGCCAATGTCACTGGAGGTGAGACAGTCAGGGATCCCCAAGAAATCCTGTAGGATCTAGGGAGTAAAATCGTCCCTGGGCGGGAGGCAGGCAAGCGGACTTGCGGGGTTAACAGACACCCCAGAAAGTTAGGAATTCCAAGTGGACCCGCCTTCGAGGCTGTAAAATTAAGATGATGCCCCTGGAGAGGGGGTTGAAAAGCCAGCGGGGCCTTCAAGGACCCTGTGGCCGGCAGAGACACCAGGAAGCCGCAGCCCAGAGACGAGTCATTAAAATCACACCCACGGAGACAGGTCACAGTCTGTCCTGTTCTGAAAACAATCCTGGGGACTTTCCCAGGTGGGAGAGGCAGGCTGAGGTGAGGGGCAGGAGCCTGCGACGTGCAGCCCAGTCACCAGAGCGGCCCTCGGTACTTTATCGCCTCATGAATCACACGGAGGCAGCGACTGGAGATGGCGTCAGACCCGGGCTCAGGGAGACATGGCGGAGAGCTCGGGTGCGACTAAACCCCACTCCGCCTGCGACATCGGGAGACAGGACCCTGCCTGTACACCTTTGTCCTTTGTTTGATGGCCTGGGCTTTCTGTCCCCGTGGGCTACCTTGAGCATAAGGATGGAGGCTTGTCATCTGACTCAGACAAGACACGGAGTTGGTGGGAGGCTCCGGAAGGAACTTGATCCCTCCTTTCCATCCCCCACAGGTGGCTCCTTCCAGGTGTCCCCTGGCTCTTCTCTCATCCACAAGGGCCTGGGGACCACAGGGGGCCTGCAGGGCCAGCTGGCTCCAGCCGGCTCCAGCCTTCGAGCAAATCTACAACCTTACAGTCCTCCTTGCCGGGGAGGTGACCTGCACAGATTCCCGGGGTTGGGGCATGGACTTCCTTGGAAGCCATTACGGGGCCTTCCCCAGGCAGCTGGGCCCCCATGGGTCTCTGGTCTCCATGAGTCGGACCCGCAGTGGCCCCTCTGAAGTCCGCATGGCCTCCCAGGGAGCTTCCTGGACTCAGCAGAAGAAGGGGCGACCCGCGGGCCCCGCCTCCAGGGCTCTGCTCAGCCCTGCTCCCTCGGTGAGGCTGGGCCGAGACCTGGATCCCCCTGACATGGCACTGGGAGCTGCCCCATCAAACCTGCGGACAAAGGCAACCTCCATCCTCCACTGCCTTCCCAGACAGCTGCCCAGACCACACTGCCTGGTCCCTTCCAGAGCCTTCAGCCCCGAAGCCACCCGGCCAACCCTCTCTCCCCTGCCAGCTGGCCGCAGGCTTACTAGCAGGACACTTGACTCCGCCAAGCCTTAGTGTCCTCCTCTGTGAAATGGGCACAGTAACTGCCTGCCTCCCAGAGCTCACCTGGAACTTAAATAGGGTAACGAGGGACGTGTTAGTGGCACACCTAGTGTGGCACATAGTAAGCGCTCAATAAACGATGGCGGCCTCCTTGGGCAATGTCTGTGTAGGCGCCCCCCAGGTCCTGCATTCTCATGGGCCAAAGATCCTTCCAGACCCAGACCTCAGCTGTGGGGGCCAGGGAAGGGGGCCTGACTCCCAGGCCACATCCTGCTGGCCTCAGTGGCTTGGGACTGAGCCAGGAGGTGGCTCTGGCCGTGCAGGAAGCGGGGGCCTGGCCTTCTACCTGGTTTGCAGCTCTGGACGGCCTGACGCGTGCTTCCTTCAGAACGAGGAACAAGTCACTGTGGGCCTCGGGGAGGTTGCCCAATTCCGTGGCCCCAGGAGGCCTCCAGCCGCCCTGCAGGGAGGGAGGGGCCCTTCCTTGGTGCTGAGGGACAGTTAGTGTTATGGCCCTCCCTCTGTAGATGAGGACACGGAGGCACAGAGGAGTGAAAGCACTCTGCTGGTCACAGAGCTGGCGACCTCTGCAGCCTGGGTTCTCCCCCCATGTGCTAGAGGAATCTCCTGGAAACTCTGAGGACCCAGCTGACCAGGCCCCTCTCTGACATTCTGCCTGGACATGGGCATGCTGCACCCTGTGGCCCGGTGACTTTGACGTCAGACCTAGAGGACCCTCCTGTTCCCCTAGGCACCTCTGGACTCCCCTCTGCCTCCCTTACGTGCCTCCCCCGACACTCGGCCTGGGATCAGCAGCTCAGGGGCCGCGCTCTCCCTTTTCTGGGGCTGCTTGGGCTGCAGTGGTACCTCCGCAACCAGAAAGTCCCAGTGGCATAAAACCTGGCTGGGACCCTGGTTCCTAAACGCAGTGCACGCAATTTCCCCCAACGTGTGTTAGCATGCAGATTCCAGGGCCCCAGGCCTGGGCACCCGCAGGCTGCCAGCCCCCGGGGGCTCAGCCACATCTCCAGCTACTTCTGTTCATTGTGGCAAAACATCTGGAGGGGGTGGGTGTTGTCACGGGTCATTTGTCACAGTGTGCCATGTGCCACCCCTCGGCTGTTGTTGGACCACCTCTTACAAAGAATGGAGGGGACTATCCCCCAGCGGGAGGGATTTCCAGGAGGCACTGTTGAGAAAGGCAAGACACCAAGTGGCATGTGCCACGTGAAGTCGGCGTGGCCTCAAAGCCACCCTGCCCCATGTGTGTCCATGCGTGTGTCAGCCCGTGACTCTGTGACCGTGGAGAAGAGCAGGGAAATACACACCAACCGCCACGTATTGCCAACGTGGGGGTGGCAGGGAAGGACAGAGAAATGAAAGGAGGGCGTGACATGGGCACACGGGGTCATTGCGCGGGCTGTGTCCATGTGTAAGAGGTCGCTAGGGCTTTTATTTTTTTATTATTTTTTTGGTGCTGGGGATTGAACCCAGGGGTGCTCCACCACGGAGCTACACCCCCAGCCCTTTTTATTTTTATTTTTTTTATTTTGAGACAGGGTCTCACTAAGAGACAGCCAAAGCTGTCCTCAAACTTGGGATCCTCCTGCCTCGGCCTCCCAAGTGGCTGGGATCACAGGCCGAGGTCCTAGAAGAGCCTTTAAAAATAATAATAAATAAAATTAAAATGACCCGTGCTTTGGGCAGAAGACTGTGGCCACAGTTGGAAATCAAGGAACAGGGACAGCAGGGACAGGTGAAGTGGGAGAGAGCATGAGGGACAAAATAGTCCTGACCATCCTGGAGGCCACCGTGGAGGCCCGTCCTGCGTGGAGCTCACCTAACTCAGGTTCGGAGAATCCCAGGACAGGGTTGAGCACCCTGCAGGAAGCGGACGGGTGTGCTGGGAGCCACGGGACCCACCTCACACAGTGGTCAGGGACGCCTTTTGGGGAGGTGACAACTTGGACTGAATCGAGGGACGGGAAGGATCCAGGGCGTAGATCAGCTGGTGGGGGGTGGCTGCACGTGTTCTAGAACTTACCCAGGGCTTCTCGGGCAGCCATTGGACGGTGGCAGGATGGGCCATCAGGTGGCCCCTGTGATGAGCTTGGCGGCCACTTGGTGAGAGCCACCGACCGGCCCACACCTTTAAAAGGACAGCTCCATGTGAGGTTTGGGGGTGAGGGTGGGATGGGAGGAGAGGAGGTGACGTGTCAAGCTGTGCACTTTGTGTGGAGCGGCCGTAGACAGACAGGAGGTGACAGGGAGGGGTACAGGCCACCCAGAGCCACTTGTGGATTTCATGACCCAGT